TTCAGCCATCAATTGATCGATAATGGTTAATGATTATGAATATTCTCAGTCTTCACAAAACAACACAGACCTTCCCAATCAGATTTAGATTTTTTTTATGTTTAAATTTACTGTAATCATTGATTTTTTTTTAACATTGAAAGTTTTGTCCCCTGCCTTTTCTCATGGAAATAAAGTGTTATTGAACAAAGATGAAACTCCAACTGAATGGAGCACAAACTGAGTCTCGTAAAGCAGCAGCTATCTTCTTGCCAACTCCAGGGCAATGCCACATACACAATCACGCGTTATATTGTGTAAAAACCCACTTTTAGATAAAGAACAAGTTGTACTGCTGTGGTTTTAGGAAGGATGTTGTTTTAGGGTAGTACCGTTCACCGTTAGTCCCAATGGTGGGAGCCGCGAACTGAAACTACAGTAGATTATGATGAAATATTGACCAACGCTTATTTTAGCTGATAGCATGTGTCATCTATTCAAGTGTGAATCTGTTCATGCGATTCACACATTGCTTGGGGATATTCAAATCCTAAATAACATACGTGTTTTCTCGTAAATGGGGAAATAGGACATTTGTAACGATGTTTCATTTGGTAATTCCAAATTGTGGTCACTTTCAAAAACATACTTTAATACAATAACTTTGCAAGGTGTCAAATTATAAATATGTATACAAAACTGTATTTTGTTTGTTCCAGTTATTTTGGTGTTGTGAAATGCAATACAGAATTTAACATCCCTTTAAAAGATATGAAAAGCTGATATAACCGTGATTTATAAATATGTATTCACGTGTCCTGTTCACATGTAGATATAGTCAGAAATAAACTTAAGACTAAAATTCAACAAAATGCAGAGGAAAGGGACGATTTCATTTTTTATGGATGTTTACATAACCTTTTAAAGTATTTCAACGTATTCAACTTGAACACAAATCAATTTGTGATGTATATTTGTCACAATAACATTATCTTCTAAATATAAACTTAATTGAACTACATTGTTACTCACAGTGCTTTAACATGACAGAAGACGTACTTGATTTTTTTTGTTCCAAGAATAATGGGCAGTGCCTGGGAACCGTCTGCTTTTATAGTTTAATGAATGCGTTTGAAAGCTGGGCTATGGACAGTGAAAAGTGTTGTTATTCCTCCAAGGAAGGCTGGGGTGACTCATTATTCTTTGGCTCCTGCTGCCCATTATGCCTTGCACTCACTTGAAATGGATACAATCGTCAGAAATAGAATCAATTGTACCAAATTGACTTTTTTCACCCACATTATAACTTTTTTTATACATGTCTGTGCTAACAGTCTTGTGGGAAAATTACATTTCAGGACAATGATGTATAATTGATTTATAGGCTACAGTATACAATAGTTTGTGTCAAATATATATTTGTAGTGAATGGTTATGCATCATCTTGGTGATCCAAGATAACAATTTTATCCTGTGGATTTAAAAAAAGTATATAGATCCTTTAAAACTGCACAAAGGCATTTGACAAGATTTTGTTTTTACATGACCGAAACAAGGCAACGGTTTCACGTGGTACTGGCCAGGGCACAACGTCATACAGTATCTGCTACCACGCACACCTGTGACCTTTAAGAGTCTTGTGGTTTTACCCTTGGCTGGCTGTGCTGCAATAATTCTGTGCCCCATCTGGTTTTCATCTTCAGACTTGCTGATCATCTGAAACCAACGATGGCTTAAAGAGGTTGGGTCAGGGCATCATTGTTTTGCTTTAACTGCATGCTGACCGAATGTGTTATGCAAGTAGTAACCTACTGTTTTTCAATAGTTTTGAAATATCACGTTTTAAATAAAATATTTAAAGTTTGTTTCTTGAATTGTAAAACTGTTCGATATAGGATTTCGAGTTGGATTAACACATGCTTATTAAACTAATGCCTGCTGTCCAGGAAAGCCTGAGTTTTAAGACAGAGTATTATATTTAGATATTTGACACATTTTTTATTAATCAATATTTGGCACGTGTGAAGCAACCAGAGTACCTGGAGACAACCCATGCATGAGGGGATAACACTTAAAACTCAAAACCGGATTCATGAATCATATGCTTTACTGCCATCTGGCCTTCGTACAGCCAGTTTGGGAGCTTTTACAAATCTGTGTGACCTATCAAATCCTTGTCCCAAAAATGCTGGATTACAGCCATGTGCAGTTGAAGTACACCAGCCCAAGTCTCATGTTCACAACCATAACCGACTGTGATAGGAACATTTAATATTTAAAACAAGTTATGGCTAAATGGCACATGAGAGCTTCTCATATTAAGAAAATTAAGCTTCCAAGTTTTTGACATAACTCCCCGACAGATGCTTTATTTACGCGAAAAAATACATCCACCCTTATTCACATGAAGGCAATAATCCAGTGTGTACATCTTATTTTGAAAGTATTGATTTTGGCACAACAGTGTTGTGAATGTATTTTCATTAATTTATATGGCCAAAAAAACATTTCCTCAGACTTATTTTCAAGCATGTGTGCAAGCACATTTATAATTTCATCTTTAAGGGAAGATATTTGCAGCCATCAATGCATGCGATTACATGGTGACTACAGTTGGGCACAACATTTTTTTAAAAGTTGAGATAGTATTTACACCCAGAATTTGGCCGGGGCAAACTCATCAGATCTTGGAAAGTAACCAGAATTGAGCCTGCATCGTGCATGGATGATGGGTCACTCCCATGCTCAAGAGACAGATTTACTCGTCATTGTGGGCAGCAGAGGACAATGCAGAAAAATACATTATTATTCTGCCTTTCCCTCCAATATTCAACCCGTACTGACCAGTTTGGTGACACATGGTGAAATATTCCTCATGACCCTTATCCAGCAGTGGGCTGATTACAGACTGCACATATACACTATATCCACCAACCAGTAAGGCAGCATACAATATACGCCTGTAAAAATAAACAAGCGACAATAACAATGGTTACCAAGACAACTTTTTAAAATATATATAATGCAAAAGACGAAGTATCACGTGCACCAAGACAGACTCCATTCTCACAAGTGCCGGATTGGCTTGCCCGCCCGGTGTTGAAGCTGGTTTATAAAGTCCGCATGGCTTCGTGCTCACGCTACAAATATGCCCAACGAATTTATCCTGAAAAGCATTTCAAATTAATTTTGGACCTTTGTAGGACTTTCAAGAGGCATGCTATCTTGCGTGAAATATAATTATTTGGTCCTAGTGTGTAATTTTCGTTTAATTTTCTTAAAACAAAGAAATCGTTATGCATGCAAATGTTTTTTTAATGTTTACAAAGAAATCATTATTCGTTGAAGTGTTGTGGAAACAAAGACAAACGCACGGTGCTTGATTGCAATTATATCTTTGCGTGTACACGTGCTGCCACCTTCTGAATAGTGTCCAGAAGTCCCTTGCATTGTTCTTTAAAAATCATCATTGCATTGTGTACCTTGTCACGATTTGGGATCTCAATGCCTCGGTGATTGACTCTTGGGTTCTCAATATTTCCTGTGTATTATTACACTTTCTTTACTGCTTTAGTTGTCGTTGTATTGCCGCGATTAGCCTCAATGCAGTACATAATTACCACATTGCTTGCATGCATTTGCATACATCATAAACAATCGATTCCCGCACACGTGATTTCACTCACAAATTGAGCTTTAAGAATCAATATTTATCCATCAATAAATGCATCGATAAAAGTCTAATATTATAGAAAACTGGCATCAACCTAGATTTGAAGCTTTCGTGACTGCAAGGATTCATATTCTTAGGTTTTTTTTATTTTCATTTTTAAAAATGTTTTTTACCTACGTGACTTTACCGAAAAAACCTAAGAATATGGCATCAACCTCGCTGAACGTCGGTGGGGGGGGGGTGTACGTTTTATCATCACTCCTACACCTCACCAATGTCGCGTGACGTCATAACTCGCCCCCCTCCCCTCCTGCATTTCTTGACGTCATTACTCCCCCGTCGTTCACCTCACCCGTGCCGCGTGACGTCATCCCCCCCTCCTCACTAACGCACCTCAATCCAGCGTGGCGTCATCACGCTTCTGCTTCAACTCACCAGTGTCGCGTGACGTCACCACCCAGCCCCTCTCCTCCGTTATCCTCTCCTCACTACCTTCAATTTCTCGGGACGTCAACACCCTTCACCCACTCCTCACATCACCCCAATCTTGTCGGGGACTACTCTCTCCCAACAGCCCCAGTGTCTCTGAGGTTATTCTCCCCTACACTCCAACAGCCCCAGTGTCTCTGAGGTTATCAGCCCCTCCCCTCCACCAGCCCAGTGTCTCTGAGGTTATCCTCCCCTACACTCCAATAGCCCAGTGTCTCTGAGGTTATCAGCCCCTCCCCTCCACCAGCTCAGTGTCTCTGAGGTTATCAGCCCCTCTCCTCCACCAGCCCAGTGTCTCTGATGTTTTTAGCCCCTACCCTCCAAAAACCCAGTGTCTGAGGTTATCCTCCCCTACACTCCAATAGCCCCAGTGTCTCTGAGGTTATCAGCCCCTCTCCTCCACCAGCCCAGTGTCTCTGAGGTTATCAGCCCCTCCACTCTACCAGCCCAGTGTCTGAGGTTATCGCCCCCTACACTCCAATAGCCCAGTGTCTCGGAGGTTATCAGCCCCTCCCACCCACCTAACCAGGGTGGCTACCCCTCCCCACTCAGACAAACAAGCATATTGTTACACACCATGGAAGATGTGGACACTTTCTGCATACTTGGAGTCCAGTTTGTGACTGTATTGTGACATCTGGGGCCGTGCAACCTCTCGACAACGTCTGCCCATTCAGATCATTCAACGGCGATCTGAAAAAAATCCACGCGGCTACTCCTAAAGCAGTCGCATGGACATGAGACCTCGACATTAAATTGTAATCTGTTGCAATCTACAAAAATGCCATACGAAAGAAGAGAAGACATCGATATATTCTACCGTACTGGAACAGGAACTCCATTATTAAAAACGGGCGACCACATTTTTAGCGTAAAGCTGTGAAGATTCACATTAATTTTATTAAGTCAACAAAACACGGTTGGCGATGTAAGGTGCGAAATAAGTTCAACATAAATATCATGCCCACAACATTGAGCTCAAGTGAAAAAGTAATTTTTTTAAAATGTGTTAAGCAAGTGCATTTTTTCCAAATTACTTGCGATTCAAATACTAGATACATATTTAGAACAGTACATATTTAGTGCAAAAGTATATCCAGGTAGGCCAGTTAATAATGTACAAACATTTTTGATTCTAAGCTGATGTAAAACGCTTAAAATGTGTTTTGCTTGCTAATTAAGTACAGTAATTACAGTACTGCACATAGCAAGCAATGTTAACCCAATGAGATTGGATTCTGTCATAAAAAACATGTTATCTGTGCTACACAAATTACATTTTCGTTAGCTTTGTGCTGTAATGCCCTCTTGATGCACATGCTCAGTGATGTAAGCCACAAGAGCGTCACGGATCACCACCGCTTCGTGGTTCTCCTGACCCTCACATTGGCTTGCCTTTGGTTGCCGTTGCTGGTGCTGCATCTCCTTCACCTCCTCTTGCCATGTGGTAAGAAAGTCATCAGTACTGCTCTTCACACAAGTTGTGCAGAACGCAGCAGGTGGCCACCACCGTGGGCATGAACATATGGTGCACATCAGAGCGCTTCAAGAGAATTCTCCAGCGACCTTTGAGCTTGACAAAGGCTTGTTCCACTTTAACGAGGATGGCGTTGATGTGAGTGTTGTACACCTCCCTCTCATTGGTCAAGTGTTTTTCTGCGTAGATTTTCATTAGCCAAGGGAGTAGCGGAAATGCTGGTTCACCAACGATCATGAGTGGGACATCCACACCTTTCATGTCTATGGTAGCTTTGGGCAAACGATCAGGATTCTTATACAAATCTGACATGTGGAATGCTGTTGCGTGGTGAGTGTTTCCTGGAACGCCAACATAGATGTTTCGGAACCTCAAGGACAGAAAGAGACTTATTAGAGACATCTCTTCATATTTAACTGCGGGTCAAAATATACAAACTGATGGTGAATAAATGACAACTTGGAGCTATCATTATTTAACTTTCATAACCAGTGAACTTTTAAATGCACATAATGAGGTCTGACTGACTAGTCATTTATGCTGTGTTACTCTAATATGTATTTCTGAACTGTGACATATTTAACATATGCCAACATTTGTGGTTAATTACCTCCTGAATTCAAGCTGCAGTCAACACTACTTGAGCAAAGGTCATCCTTAACCCAGCTGTGCCCCCTATGGGAATATTTTGGAAACGTAGCATAAACGAAGGTAACGTATAATAACCATGTATGCAATGCACATAACGTGCAATTCTCCCAAGAAATTAATAAATTTTTATGGTTTTGGATCACTTCGATACAAAACTTATGTATTTACTGTCTCGTGTTTTTACCATCTAATTTGTAATGTTTCTATCTCCAATATGTTGAGTACATCAGCCCAGATATATAAGCATTTTACTTGCATATATTGTCAAAATAATCCAATTCTTACATGGACGAACTGATGCATCTATCTTGAGCCGTACGAATCTATATTAACCTGTGCATAATATAACTTGAGCTATACACAGTCCATTCAAACGTTGCATCTCACCTCAGCGTGTCGTCCACAATGGTCTGCAGGATGATGGAGGGCCACTGGTTCCTGTTGGCGTAGTCTCTGGAGCCCAGCCTGGGTGCGAGTACTGGGATGTGTGTGCTGCCAATGCAGCCAAAGACCTGTGGCAGGACATGCTGCTTGCAGAAGCGCTCAGATATGGCACGTGCCTCTTCCAGGGCCGGAAGATGCACACTGTGTCGCAGCAGGAGGTGACACACACACCTGCAACATAGGTAGATGAGAGCATGATGAGGACAGTGGCTTGCGCAGATAGAATTGTTGCCATTCGTTCACTAGTTTACTAGTTTAAACAAAACTCGTTTAAACAACATTCAAAATTCACACTGTACAGCAACTTTCAACGTAATACTAAACCTAGTGAAGGCTGTGTGAGGAGTGTAATAATTCATGCATGATCACGTAAAAATTTCAGAATAAAAAACGTCATCAACACTAAATATTAATCAATGTTGCATTTCAGGAGTCGAAACAATTGAATTGCCACTTTGCTCGTAGGATTGCGATCGTGGCAGCGTCAGGATTTCGACGCTTACGACCAGCGTGATGGTACAACCACCACTTACACATTTACCACCAAGATGGTTAATGTTACCTAACCACTTGCACATTTACCACCAAGGTGATCAACGTTACCACAGCACCACTTCCGAGTGTACCACCAAGGTTATTAACGTTACCATAGCAACCACTTCCGTATGTACCATCAAGGTGATCAACGTTACCATAGCAACCACTTACGGATGTACCATCAAGGTGATCAACGTTACCATAGCAACCACTTTCGGATGTACCATCAAGGTGATCAACGTTACCATAGCAACCACTTCCGGATGTACCTCCAAGGTGAATAACGTTAACGTTACCACAGCAACCATTTAAACATGTACCAAGATGATTACCGTTACCACAGCAACCACTTCCGAATATACCACCAAGGTGGCCACCGGTCTGACCCATCCTGTACCACCACCACCACCTCCACCTCCTCCACCACCACCACCTCCACCACCACCTCCACCTCCACCACCTCCGCCATCTCCACCTCCGCCACCACCGCCTCCACCACCGCCACCACCTCCGCCATCTCCACCTCCGCCACCACCGCCTCCACCACCGCCACCACTTCCACCACCTCCGCCATCTCCACCTCCGCCGCCTCCACCGCCACCACCTCCACCACCACCGCCACCACCACCGCCACCACCATCACCACCACCACCTCCGCCATCTCCACCTCCACCACCACCACCCCCCACCACCTCCACCCCCCACGGCGTCACCTGCACACGCGGTAGAGGTAGCGGTGCACCGTCGTCTTACTGACACCGAACAGCTTGCCCACGACACGATACTCTGCGCCCGTGGCGAGCTTGAAGATCGCGATGGCCACCCGCTTGCGAGTGTCCACGGGCTTGCGGACGAAGGCGGCGGCGGGAGCGACGTCGGCCGCCACCAGCGAACAGAGGCGCTCGAAGGTGGCACGGCGCATGCGGAATTCTCGCAGCCAGTCGACGTCGGCGAAGCCCTCCTGCACCACGAATTCCCACCAATGTTGGCTCTGGGGCGCCATCCAGAAGCGTCGGTGGGGCCTGAGCAGGGCCCGGGCCCGCGCGAACAGCGAGCGGCACATGCGGTGGTGGTGAAGGTGCAGCAGCAGCCGGCGTCGTCGTCTGCGTAGCCGGAGGAGATGGAGCAGCTGGTGGCAGCTGAGAAGCAGAGCGAGGAGGAGCTGGGTGTCGTGGCTGGATGTGTGGAGTGTGGTGATGGTGGTGGTGTCACTAGCATCGTCGTCGTCTTCACCACCACCACCACCGACTTCGCCGTTGACAGTGCTCCTCATCATGTTGGTGGTTGTCATTGGTGATGTTGGTGGTATCGCTGTTGGGAATGTTGCTGGAGTTGGTGTCGGAGCTTTGCATGTGTTTGTTGGTGATTTTGTTGTTGATATCCTTGGTGATGCTGCTGCTGCTGGCGATGTTGATGTTGGTACAGTTACTGCGGGATGGGGCGATTGTCGATCCGAGAAGAATCGATGTCCGATTCTACTACCGCCAAGTTGTGGAATCGATTCCTTTTTTTGGGTCGATTCCAAATCAGTTCAAGGAGGGCTTCGATTGACCATACTTCACCACGCCGGTCAAAGCGAATTGGCTTCGATTGCCCATACTTCACCACGCCGGTCAAAGCGAATTGATTTCGATTGACCATACTTCACCACGCCGGTCAAAGCAAATTGGCATCGATTGACCATACTTCACCACGCCGGCCAAAGTGAATTGAACACATCACACAGCTAATGCATAATTGCTTTCAACCTATGATTTTAAAAAAAGTTCAATTATATTGGGAAGTGGTGTTCATTCCAGAGATCCTATGCGAGACCCCATATGATTACGAAATATTACTTATTTTGCTGCTAGAAATTTCCACACACGATAAGGCACTTCGTTAAGCTTTCATTTGTGGCCAGATCGCTTCTGAAAAATAAGCCAATAGCTCAGTGGGATTTACCTGGTAAGATATAAAAAAAGTTTAGTTTGATTTGTTTTTATATTTTTCAGTTATTTGTTTACCTTACTTGTACTTTGCACTCATATCGTGTGTTGCATCGTTTGTTGTTGTGCCGTTCTGACCCCGTGCCTCCACTGGACATCTGTGAAAAAGAGATTAATAGCGTAGATTTTAAGCCTTCGTGACTGCAAAGATTCATATTCTTAGGTTTTTTCGGTTAAGTCACGTAAGTAAAACATCAAAATAAAATTAAAATAAAAATAAAAAACGTCGTGATTTTTTATTTTTATTTTATTTTTATTTTGATGTTTTACTTACGTGACTTAACCGAAAAAAACCTAAGAATATAGATTAATAGCGATAATAAAATAAGATAATAAATGAAAATAACTACATTTAGATAATAAAATAAAATAATAATAAATGAAAATAACTACATTTAGTTATTTTCATTTATTATTATAATGTTATTTTATTATTATTTTTACCTACGTGACTTTACCGAAAAAAACCTAAGAGTATGAATCCTTGCAGTCACGAAAGCTTCAAATCTAGATTAATAGCGCTTTGGATTCATCCAGTACACGGACTCATAGACTTACGAACAAGTTAGGTTCCAGAGTTCTGTTCGTAAGTCTAACTTTACTCCTGTCGATTCAAAACATGTTGTACGGCATGTACACTAAACAGAGGGAATGGCTTTAAAAGTTGTATAATCTCCTGTAGATGCCACTGGTTCTTCATGTTTTGCAAATGTAGCTTGCGTATGTGGGGGGTCTACTGATAATGTACGTACGCATATGAAACGGGGGCGGGGGGGGGGTGAAGCCTCGATAATAAATTGTCTACATTGGCCTTCAACCTTCAAATGAGCCACAGTTCAGTGTCTTCAGCTGTCAGACAACAAGTCCTGCCGGGAGAAGTGGGACTGTGGGAGAGGTGTCACTTCGTGTGCCACGTGCCCCTGACTGCAGCTATCACGCAGCTCAGCAACATCAGTGGCCAAGGGACGCAACTTAATTGTTTAATGCAGCCGGCGGTGGACTATCTGTTTGCTTAAACACGTTAATATTATTAATCCTTGATCGTTTCTGCGTGGATTAAATATCGGCCGTTCTATAGGATTCGGGGGTGGGGGGTCAAGGGGCCGTCCATAAATGACGTCACGCGACGTTACAAAAATTCAGACCCCCCCCACCTCAAATATGACGTCACAAAGCTCTGCCCCCCCCCCCAAAATAAAACATGCTTCAAATCGCTTTAAACTATTGTCATTGTAGTGCGTATTTAATGTGGCGCTACACTCTGATGTTGTAGGAGAAAACATTTATTAAAAAGTCTATTTAATTAAGTAGAACGTGTTGTCTATATTTATTTAAAGTTGCGCATTTTTATGTGACGTCACATTTTTCACCCCCCCCCCATAGGTGCGTGACGTCATTTATGCACGGCCCCCTAGCGTACGTACGCAGGTGGGGGGGGGGGGGGTGTAAAAAGTCCGCGTGGGTATAGGGAGGGGGGATGGGTTAAGTTTTGACAGATTTTTTGCGTACCTACTAAATGGATGGCCCCAAACTGGACGCACGGACCAGGTTTGTACGTTTCGATTTAAAGCTTTCGTGGCTGCAGGGATTCATCTTCTTGGTTCTTTCGGTAAAGTCACGTAGAAGGGAAATAATAAAATAATAAAAATAAAACATTGTATTTTATTATGTTTTATTTTTATTATAATAATAAAAATAAAACATTGTATTTTATTATGTTTTATTTTAATTATTTTATTATTTCCCTTCTACGTGACTTTACCGAAAGAACCAAGAAGAGGTTTGCACGTATCTCTCAAAGTTCGTAAGTCGAGTGTTCGTAAGTCGAAGAGTCCCGGGACAAATAAAAATCCTGATGACTAGAGGTAAAAACCCTCCCATCTGGCAAGCCCCATCCCTCCCCTCCCCAGCTACGCACGCCCCTCCCCGTGGGCGGGGCCACACTGCCAAGCTCCTCCCACCCACCCAACGGTCGCGACCCCGGCGGACCAATCAGAAAGAGGCTCCACCGACTGCTGACCAATCAGCGGGCGGCGAATTGGCGTTCGAATCTGAGCCCGGGCATCGGTTGTTGACGCTACTCGGCGGTGTTCGTCTCCGGTCAGCTTCTTCACCGTTCGCCCATATATTATATCCATCACCTTTATTGTCATTTTTTTCGGCTGATTTCGCCGGCGGGGATTGCGAGCGCCATGGCGAGTGAGCTCGAGGAGGACGGCAACGGCTGGGAGCTGAGCAAGGAGAACGTGCGGCTCCTGCCCGGGGGAAGATCTGCGGCGGCCATCAACGAAGCGTTCCAAAAGCAGGAGGCGACGGACTGCGCGGAGCAGCTGCGGCGGCAGAAAATGTGAGTGGCCTTTTACGTCGGCTCGACGGTGTTTGACGTCAAGTTGCGAAGGTGGTGGCGCTGATAAAACTACTAAGGCCCCACTGAGCTTTTGACGATTTTTTTTTCAGAAGTGACCTCGCCACAAATGATGCCCTCCCCCCCCCCCCCCATGTGTGGACATTTATAGCAGGCAAATACTAAGGGCGTGATGTTGATTTTTGAATGTGGAGGGACCTCTCAGCTCCCCCCCGAGGACCCTGAGAAAAATACACATGACCACGTGGACAAATAACATACAAACTCCAAATATACAGGGTCTGGATCAAACCCACAACCTCCTGTGCACCAGGCGAGGTAGTTAACATCTCGCCCCAGCCGTGTGGCTGCATTGGAACCACGGGCCAAATTGGCGGCAGACGATTGCCCACCACAAAGAGTGGACCATGGATTCCACGGGGATTCGTGCTGATAATCACGCTTCACCACTTCTCAGGGCTGCCGAATTTTGTTGTAAATTGCACAAATCGTTGGTCAGAAGAGTCCATAAACGCCAAGTTTGTCAGTATACTGTTTTAATGTGCTTGGCGTAGTTTGTATCTTTTTAACCAAATCATCTGTAATGTGCCCCATCTCGAAAGATATAAAATGGGTTGAATGTAGATTATGATGGAATTGGCGACCATAACAGATGTGGTGGCCAGCAGAGGGCAGTGGGAGCAAAATAAATCGACATTTAATCCGCCACCTTCAACGCCCACCGATCAGTGGTGAATTGGGGTCAAATATCCTCACGTTGGTTGTGGTGACATGGCCCATTGGTGGCACATTCGCCGCTTGGTGCATAGGTTCGCAATTAGAACTTCTGGTGTATTAACCATAAAATAGTGCAGTCTGCTTTTTAGTGGACGTTAAAGACCTCTCCGTGACGTTGCTCCAAGAGCACTATTCCGAAGTCATGGTACAAATAACAAAAATACCCGGAAACTACTCCGTTTCGATGATACAATTTGGATTATACATTGCCCCTACTTCGAAAACTTGTCAGGACCTTCCTCAAATCAACTCGGTAAGGCATTCCTGGGTCATCAAGCGGAGTAATAATAAGAAACGTGTATTACATTGCGTGGAGAGGCTGTCATCCAGCAGTGGATTTGGGAAAAAAGGGGTCTACGCGTAAAATGATACTTGGTAATTATGTTAATACAGAAGACTTAAGAAACAATTGTAAACATTTAGTGTTTCGGCAAATTTTGTATTTTAATTGTTTCTCGTCTTTACTGTAGAGTCAGCATTGGGAGTCGAATTCATTTCGAGACTCGTTACATGCGTATTATTTACTCCGCTTGACAATTTTGCCGATTATCCCGTGACCTTTGAATGCATCCCAAAATATGCCACCTTGCATTACTGGCACAGGCATCAACTTTGCCCTGCTCCATTGAAAGCCTGCTAATTGCTCATGGACACCACTTGCTCTTGAGACTCTTTCCTGATATCCAGGCCCCAAAATTGAGCACTTTGACCCTGAGACTGTCACTTGAACCCAGACAGTATGCTACTTGCTCTCGGTTCTGTTCTAAAATGTTTGCCTCAAAATTAAAACATTACTATTTGCAATAATTTCGCCTTCACTGCACGTTATCATGTGATTATTGGTTAAAAATTGTATGCATTATTAAACGTCGAAAACACTCTGTAATTAAGTTTGTATGTTTTCTAGAGCTTTTGAAACGGAAATACGGCTGTATTCTGGTGAAGATCCTTTGGACGTCTGGGACAGGTAGGTGTTGGTAACGTCTTTGGAATGAGAGTACAGTATATATATTTTTAAATGTGTCAGCATGTGCTGTAATGTAGTAATTTTTTTTACGAAATAGTGTACTTTGCATTTTGTAATGTAATTATTTTTTTATGAAACCCTTATGGTTGCTGAGAGGTCACTAAGAACATTTTAACTTTCAGGAAATGTTTACACTGCTGTTGTTAAAGGCAGTTACAGTGAATGTCGATATGGATATGCATTCTGATTATTAATTATGGTATGTTGTGATCTCAGGTATGTGAACTGGACAGTGCAGATGTTTCCTCAGGAAGGCAAAGGCAGCTGTTTGTCTGAACTGCTCGAGCAAGTCATTGACCGGTTTAAAGATGAAGCCATTTATCACAACGATATGCGTTTTGTTGGACATTGCTTAAAATTTGTAAGTACATTTCGCTAATGGCAATATTGTTCTAATTTAAAGACCACCTTCTGTATTCGTTCATAAGTTATTTTACTGTAGCATATACAACAGGATGCCCAAAAAAAATCTGCATTGATATTGGGGGGCCAAATGACAAATTAGTCTTAAAATCTATTTTTTTTAAATTGGGTTGTGTTGCAGATTATGGGAGGAAAAGAGCAGCAGCGTGATCCCGTTAATCTGCGAATACATTGCAAAAAGTTATGGGTAAAATTCACATGGAACAAATTTGCCATACGGTCTATTTTAAAGGATTTTAGTATTTTTGTGTTGATATTCCTTGAAATCCACGTCACCAAAATTCAAAATCCTTTTCTTGTCAACAGATCACATCAACCAACACAGCTAGTCTGTGACTAAAACAATGTTTTTTTACAAATCCAAATTTTTACATTTTACCTCTAGCAGCAGCTCTGATTCTCCAGCTGTGCTTGGTCTGCAGCTTTCTCTTTGCATCCTTGTCTCCACAAATCCCCTTTGTTACAAAGAAGCACTCTTTTATGATGCCTTACAGAGCCTTTCGTAAAATAGAAATGTAAGCTTGAATATTGTAGCAGAAAAAACAGCCTTGAAGGGAAAGTTTGTTTTGTTGCACAAGGCAAATACGTGTATCTGCGCAAGGCTCGAATAGTGGATTTTTAAAAGGGGTGGTGAATAGCCCCACTGCGCTTAAGAAAAGTCAGCATTGTGTACTTTTAAATTTCGAATAATGGTATTCTGATGATTCCAAGTTTTCTAAATATTCATTTACTATGTATTGCTTCTGTGCTCTGTTGCATGTGACAATACTGTACTCTAAATATGTTTCAGTTAACAATACTGTATAAAATGAAGTGGTGTTTTGTTTTCTCAGGCCTCTTCTCTTCTGGAACCCATTGATCTGTACAACTACATGTATTCTGTTGGCATTGGAAAAAACCTTGCCAGATTTTACATTTCGTGGGCTACCGAGTATGAAATGCAAGAAAACTACAAGCAAGCATCTGATGTTATCACGAATGGAATCCAGCAAAATGCTCAGCCACTCGACAAGTTGCATTGTTATCAAAGGTTGACTGAATTATATTTCTTATTTTTAAAGTGTTCATGTTTAACTTGTAAACATAACATGGTAAAAATTTGGTTCCACTTGACACAGCCACATATAGATGAAATTGGAAATTATTTGTTTACTGTCGATACAGTTACAGATGAGGGTTTGAATTTACCTTAAATGGCTACGTATATACTGTTTTGTGTTTGAAGTATATATTAATATTTTAAAACGCAAAGAGTGAAATGTAATGACCCTCGGTGTTTTTTTTATGAATGGCAATACAGAAGTATTCCAATTCTTAAACTATCAGTTCTATTTAATTCTATAAATTGCACTGAAATTATATTGAATGTTTTCAGGCAATTGGACTCATGTCTTGCACGGAGGATTATCACTCAGATGTCTGACGCCCAAAATGAGCCAGAAGAAACGACCAGCCAGGAAGAGCAGCGCATGGCATTTTCAGCCCTAAAGGTCGTTGGGAAGAAGGCACAGGCGCCTGTCATACGTGTTGGCAGCACAGTCAGTGGTAGGTGGCGTCGAATGTACGTGATATTCAATTGGGGTCGCTAAATACTATCTGTGTAGGTATTAAGGTGATAAGTGCCTGTTATTGTGCCATTGGTTGTTAGTAAAAAGTTAATTTTGACTTATTGCGCAACTTGGCTTGGAAATAATGTAAATACAAATATTAATATTGTGATTTTGCTGTACGAGTAGATGAGATTTGCAAAACATGCCAAATACTAAACCATCAAAGTTACATCTTGAATACTGTACTTTAAATTGTGCTATTATTGTCCATCAGGTCCACCAGGCATAATAAACATGCAACCAAAGTCTGGTCATCAGCAACAGTGCAGACAGACGTTTATACCTCTGGATGAGAAAAAGGTTGTCATGCCACCAGAAATCCTTGATGAGCAGCCATGGCTTGCCCCACCTCCCCGCACAGCCCAAGAGAATGACGTCAAGCCTAAGCCCTGGAACAAAATACGGGTAAAGATCCAGGAAAATAAATCGAATTTATCGTAAAAGCACACCACTGTATCGTCCCTATGTAAAAGCTGCATGCATAGTAAGAACATTGATATGATTGTTTAATTTTCCTTTAATCACCAGTATAAGAAAAATCCTTCCGGTGGACTGCACAATGATGCTCCTTCAAGACCCAGCTTTGTTACTTATGTGGATGAGCCTGGCGCAAACCCAGACCCATCAATACCGTACGTCAGATTACTTGTTTCATATTTATGTCTAGCTAATACATTACTTTCCTGGTTCAACAAGTGTAATACGCATAACTTTTGTCAATATGGTAATTGTTACATGTTTGTCAAACTTGCAAAATGTAGTATAATAACTGCTAGAATGTTGATAACAAATTTGTCATTTAAGTTTGAACATTATAATCATGAGTTCACCAAGTAAATACATTTTTTATTCTGTTTTTCTGTAAAGGACTCCAAGAAAGCTCGACCCACTAACAAACAATGTGCTGAGTGCACGTAAGCCAGCTAAAAGTGAAGGTTTTCTTGAACGCATCCAGAACCATGATACAAATGATAAAACCAAGGTCATGTACTGCAAGGACAAGCTCGATGCTGGGCTGCAAGAATTCAGCATGGAGGAGCTGAGAGCAGAACGATACAAGCAGAAGATTTGCCGAAACCAAGATGAGAAAAAAGCCAAGGGTAAGTCCCCAATGAAGAAGAGACATACATGCATCTTCTGAAATGTTTTGCGAGCATTTGAATTACAATTGTTTATGCTGTTTCTCTTTGTACATGCACCTGTAGAGAAAATGGAGGACAGTTTCCAAATGGAAAGGTTACAATTGCATAATGGGAGAGAGAAGTGTGGGATGTTGCTCGAGGAAGTCGTCAAGACACTGAATGAAATGAAGAGCATGCAGGTTTGGCCTCCGGCTGCCGGCCTACCTGTTTACTCACAGGGAATATGCACGCAGGATGAGGTGCTGTGTCAACAGGAACCTCCACTGCCACCTCGAAAGAACATTCAAGAAATGCCAAGGAAACAGAATCCTGTTGTGGTTCCATCGTTGCAAGAGGTATTTGACCAAATTGTATTTGTGGAATTTCATTGTTTTAATTTTGGGAGGCTGCAAACTATTAAAATTGTGTTTTACAGTTTCAGCTAACATGTGGAGTTGGATTAGTTTGTAAATGAAATGTCCAGGCAATGTGACAATTTACCACTGCTCGACGCTCACCTGACAATTTCTGATGGAAAGTTACATGCTTGTGCTCATCTAGTAGAGAAATTTCGATTTAAAGCTTTCGTGACTGCAGGGATTCATCTTCTTGGTTCTTTTTGTAAAGTCACGTAGAAAGGAAATAATAAAATAATAAAAATAAATCATAATAAAATACAATTCTCACGACTTTTCGGCTACAACGCAAGCAGCCGTCCTCAGGTGAAGAACAGGTTTGTCGGAAAGACAGCGTCTGAATGAACACCACCAAGCTTGGCAGCGTATATTTAAGCTGGGTTGGAGGAAGGGCCTTGACGAGACGAAGGAATTTGCATATCAACAGAGGAAGGCGCCCTTCCTCCTCTAACCCAGCTTAAATATACGCTGCCAAGCTTGGTGGTGTTCATTCAGACGCTGTCTTTCCAACAGACCTGTTCTTCACCTGAGGACAGCTGCTTGCGTTGTAGCCGAAACGTCATGAGAATTGTATTTTATAATGTTTTATTCTTATTTTATTATTTCCCTTCTACGTGACTTTATCGAAAGAACCAAGAAGATAGTGGAGAAATGTGAAGCCACTGCTGGCCCATTCCAGTCGCTCATTTCACCTGCAAGTGTCGTCTGAGTGGAAATGTAACCCCCCCAGTCTGGAGCCCCAGGCTGACTTTCCAAGAGTGTTTTGGAATTATGCGTGATATAGGGTGGTGTTATGATGTGGTGTTTAGATTTTGAACACGGTGGATAGAAAATGTTGAGGGATTTCTTAATGTACTCTTAAATTGTCTATTTTACATGAGGAAAAGGTGAGGTAGTTTATTGAGAATGAATTTGGGTATCTTTGAAGGAAATACTTTTAAACTTGTAAATGCATTCAGAAGTTCAAATTTGCTTTGGCATAAGTTGCGATTGCTTTGTGCATTTTCTGATGGTTTGACTTTTTTGTGCGCATGTATGCTTACAGAACCAACAGCCTACTGCTCCACGCAATGTGCTGTCTGACAAGTCCACAATCACAGTTCAAAGCTTAAATTTGAACCAATTGAGGGAACCGGAGCATTCCCCTCTGCACAAGAGATCGTGTCCTGCTTCTCTACAGTGTATCAAGCCATTCCAAGATCAATCCACAGTTGTTCAGGCACTCGACCTGGAAAATGGGTAAAATTCCATATAGGCGTGTTATTTAAAATTATACAGAGATATTTTATGTCTTCAAGTGTTGGGTGAAATGTTATGTAGTATATATGAAGTGGTGTCTGATAACTATACCTGGAAAGTATAGTTTGTCATTTAATTAATGTGATATTTATAACATGTATTTGTGTTGTTACAGAAATGAGATGCATAAGTCGAATGAAAACAGCTTTCCATCAGAAGACAATGGTAAATGTTTAATTTTACATTTATATTTGTGAATATCTACATGTAAATTGACTTCCCACAGCACGTTTTAAAAGATGGACATTTTTTATTTTTTATTTAAAGCGTTCGTGACTGCAGGGATTCATATTCTTGGTTCTTTTGGTAAAGTCGCGTATTGTTTCCCTTCTACGTGACTTTACCGAAAGAACCAAGAATATGGACATTTATGTTGAGCACATTTTAGTTGAGTAGTTTTAAGTAAATTGTATTTAAACAGGTGAGAACTCGACCATGATATTCTCATTTGCAACAGTTTCCTGGGGCATTAGTCTGCCAGTAGGGGGGCACCGATTGCTAAGTAATAATCCCAATTGAGTAATTTTCGGATTTAGAAAATGTTAATTCTTGACACCGCAACACAATGGCCTATTCTTACAATTGATGTCCAGGGGATCTTTAACGTCCACTTTGAAGCAAACAGCACATTTTTGGATTATTACAGTAAAAGGGCATCCACTGGATTCCAACTGTTAACCTCTACAACAAGCAACGAATATGCTACCGCTAGGCCATGTCACCACCAGTAGATGTAGAGAATATGGCTGTTTTTTGCAGGATGATTTCAAGCACATACACGGCACATAACAGAAATTCAGATTTATTCTCCCAGCCTGATATCACTTAATTTCAGCACATTCACTGTCCATCGTTTGTCCAATACTATGTTTGTGTATTACGAAATGTATGAGCTTAGGCGTCCGATGATATTCCATACACAATTGACTGGTGCTAGAGCCACTGGATCTCTGGGTGGCCATAGAGCTTGTGTTGGTAGTCACAAAACTGGGCTGGTATTGGTAGGTACTGGTGGCTGCGATCAGGTGTGGTGGTGTACTTTTGAAATCCATGCTTGGGTGGTAAGTTTAGTGAATTGTGTAAAGATCGTATGCATGATACTCATTCGCAGGGGCAGTGATATGCCTACAGGTTCCAGTACAACGAGGCTGCTGGATTTTAACATGTTAATATCACATTGTTTTCGTGAGGGTCCTCTAGCTTACTCATGCACAAAATTGTTGCTCAAGTATGTTAAATCTGACCATTCCACGGTGAATACAATTATACGAACAGTTTGGTATATATTTGTGCTGAATCCATTTAGAATCTTTGGCCAAGAAAGCAAACCCAAACAGCAGTGTACTCCAAAGGAGCCAGGAGGCAAACACATCGGCTGTGACACCCAAGCAACTGAGTGCCGGGCCTTCATCCAACCTCACTTCCCCATCACCCTACAGACAGCAGGACCCCACGTTCAATACTAAAGAAGCAATGGGTATGTGCACTGATATCCTCACATATTTCAGCCATGATTAATCTATACAAAAAGATGACTACATAAACTATTTAACATTTTGTAATACTTTTTGACAATAAAGAATATCAACATTCACTTAATAAAATTTTGGAAAAGGATAATTGTGGTAATTTTATTTTTGTTATGTCATTAGGGTTTATCATGTCCATATTCAGTGGAGCACCTGTGGCCAATGATGAGGATGATGTCTTTGCCAACCAAGATATCCGGATGTTTGAGGCACTTTGCAGCAAGCAGGCTGGTGGGTTCAACATTAATTGGTCATGCTGATTGCACGATAGTTTTTATTTGGTATCTCGGTAATTTTATGGGTATTAATATTTTCACTTTTCATTTTCCAGATGAGCCACCGAATGCATTTGCAAAAAATGCATTTACAATCTTTGAAGAAAGTTTAATCACGAACAGGTATAGTATGATTTGTAATATTTTATATCAAACTCATGGGAAGGCCAATGAGATTCAAAGATAATACATAACTTGGAGTATACTCATCCCCCAGAAATTTGAATTATATTTGTGCAATTAAACAAATTCTAACAGTATTTTGCACAATGTTTCACAGTAGTTTCGTGAGTCAAGGGTAACATTAGCAAAATAGCAGTAGTTTTTAACATTTGTTGTGTTAAGTTTGTCCTTACCTTGCACCTCCGATTAACACTGCTGGCTACGTACGGCGTGAAAGAAGTTGAACATGCAATAATGATGAGTCTATGTTTTGTGCACTGTCTCAAGTTTCTTTGGGCAGTCATATTAATGTAGTGTGCTTGTGTTCAGGTCCGACGTGAAGAATAATCTGGATGAACCCAGCAGTCCTGAATATATGCATGCAGCTGCAGGCCATGAAAATAACCCCAGTCAAAAGAGTGTAAGTGTTTTAATTTAAGAAGGATATTGTTTTTCTACAAAAAGAAATACTTTAGTTGCTTGTTTTTGTGTTTTAATGTTTAACTCCTTTCGCACTGTACGTAGCCAACTGCTAATTTGAGGTTGTGGGTGTTTTGTATATAGTAGTTTATATTAAGAGTATTTAAAATCTGTATTGAACCAGGATAAAATATCCGATTTGTATAAATAAAATTCACTTAACAGAAATATATTGTTACATGTACCCAAATTCATAGCCGTCGACCATTTATCAGTGCCTACCTCATATACTGTCCAATTCAGATCTTATTGGTCACCCCGTGCCCTTATAAATCTCAACGTTCATCCTACAAAGTCCCATCACAAGGGAGAAACACAAACAAATAGACCAAAAAAATTGCCCATATTTAAACGTCTGTATCTCGTATGGTCCTCAAAACTCCATTTCCCTGTACAAGAATATGGGTAAACTGTATGGATTGACAGGTATCCAAATTGTTACTTTTATACTGATGCATGTCGATTCCCATTAAAGGAAGTTGTTATCTTTGTATCATAATTGTAAATAAATAATACACTGGAAGGTAACACCAGTGGCTATTGTTTTTCCATAATACAGTATAGAGATTGACTGCGTTCTTTCATCCAGTATTATGATTTTATGTTGATGCAACAGCCAAGGGATTGCTATTTGAGTAGTTGATCAGGTGTTAGGTTTTTTAGTCGGAATAGATTATTGCTTTGGATGTGGTAATTTAAATATCTTTGACATGTAACAATACAAATTTTACATTGTGAATTTCAAAAATAATGTTCCCCCACAACACTTGTTGTCTCAAATGCCATAACAGGAGGACCTTGATGGGTTTGACCCAATGATGTGGAACCATACGACAGACGCCATGGCACCACCGAATCAGACGCTTGGATGGATCCCGGAAAACACACGGCAATTTGCTCAGCTGGCTCCACTGATGTCCACACCCTTCTCCGTGTGCCAGGACACACACGACGATGCAGATGAGAACTCAGAAAGTAATAAGAGCAATACAATTGTTCCACATTTTTCATGACTGTAGATTTTAACATAGTTGCTGGCCATTTCAACTTTGCATTTTAGTCATAGGCTTTATAGATGAATGATAAAAAAAATGTTGGTTACATGGTGTAGGTATGTAATTTTTACGTACTAACCCGCCACCATCTGACAGCCAATCAAATCAAGTTGCCTCGATATGACTAAAAAGAAACAGTCACGTTGCCTAATCAGGAGGGCTGATCGTTGGTGGGGTGTATTGCGTTGCGCTGGCGTTGGACCACTCGGAGCCCTGGCTGTTAGGGAAGTCAACTTTTTTATTACTCCCTGAGCTGACACCATCCACCCCAGGTAGAGGGGAGTTACAGCCGTGGAGCAGGCTACCACAAAGAACATCAACCAAATAAGAATCAACACAAGATCACCCACACACATCTACTCACACCTATGGTCCCTACCGCTTTCCCAAGACACACACAGAAGCATTTGAGGTGGGGGGGGAGAAAAGGGGGGTTGTCCACCTCCCCTACGCAACTCTGCTTCAGAGTTCTGACGTTCCTCCAGGGGTTTTCCTCTCCCCTATGCAACTCTGCTTTGCAGAGTACCCCTCTTCCAGGAGTGTTCCACCTCCCCTATGCAACAGCTCATTGTTTGGTCCCTGTGAGAGGGGTCCGTTTATAAATAGCCTACGTTGCCCTAGAACTGGTTGGCGTGTTCTCTCCCAAAACCCATTCCCACACCGGTCTAACCACGCTATCTCCAGCTCACGGGGTAGGCTTCACGCACTACGCCACAAACATTAATCAACTTTGCATGGTACATGCTACAAGTTATTTTGTTGAATCATTGTCTGTGAATATCTACTTTGCACCAATTCCTTTAAGCTGCACAAAACAATGTATAGCAATAAAAATGCTGAAGAATTCGCAAGACCAAAAATTATTTTAGTTTGGTTTGAGCATTTTAGCACCAGTGATGATAATGGACAGCTCAACTTGTCAAAACTCATTGCACATATAAAATGGCCAGTTATTTTGAGTATGCATATATGCTTCTGGTCTTGCAGATAAGTTGATGAAGCCGGATATGCAACGTCCTTACCAAGGCATCTCCTGCTTTATGAGAACTTACACTTCTCCACAGAAACGGCTCAGGTCAGTCATCTCAAAACATAATTACGTTTTGTATTAGTTCATTTGTTTCATGTTGAGGACATAACTAAAATATTGAACCATTATTAAAATGTATCTGTATAATCTGATTCTAAAAGTATCACTGTTATCCCATTGTGTTAAACAAAATAACTTGAATCGGAACCAAATAGGTTTTTACCTTGATGAGAATTATTTAACATGAGATGTCTAGTGCAGCATGTTTAAAATGTTTTTTTTTCTCACCTTTGCAGCCCAATTGGCGAGATCAGCAATGAGACCGCACGTTCTTCATCGTCGTCATCCTGTGCATCCATCACCTCTTTAAAGACGACACCCAACACAGACAGTATCGACCCACAAGCAAAGTCAGCAACACCAGTCCAGTCTGATACCGTTAAGATTTTGTTTGAAGGGGATACAAAACCAGAAGAGACGGTGGCCACACTGTCAAGCCAATCTTGCATGGACAAAAACGTGGTAATGCCCTCTTCTCTACCTAGTGCTCCGAGATTGAAACCAGAATCTCAAAGCAGTTTTCGACACTCAGTAGTTGATGAGAATGAAGAAAACAAAGATATGCACTTGAAGGATAACCTGCTAAAGGAGCCACAGCAAATTCAAAGTAAGTCCTAGTATTTTCATTATACAAACTCCAATGTTGCGGCTCATTGAAAAATGGTGTAACCAATGCCCCATATGCATATAGCGGTATAACTTGACATTTTATATTTTTGCCATACAGGTGGATGTATTGTGGAGAGGCCTTGGAACCCAGTGCTTATTGAATCTCTGCTCTCACAGCTGAAGACACCTTTAGAGTCTTTACCCAATTTCTTCTGCAGTAATGAATGCATTCCCAACGTAAATCTGACATCTAAACTTCAGCTTGGTAAGTGTGTGTATATATTGTTTTAATGTCTAATTTGTAAAAAGCTTTTACAAATGTGCATATGATGTACAATTAATCATGCGTGATGTATTGCAGGGCCCACAATGTACCATGTGCAATCCTTAGTCGGGGATGGTGCTTTCGCCAAAGTGTATTGTGCTGTTGCCTCCAAACCTGATGGATTCGATGAGAAAGTTGCATTGAAGGTACTGGAGTTTTCATTTGTTATTTTGCAACATTTTCAATAACACATGCTAAAACTGTTTGCTGCTGAAGTAAGGAGAATAAACATTTTGTCTGGTTGTGTTTCTGTTCAGGTTCAGATGCCAGCTCACCCGTGGGAGTTTTACATGTGTACCCAGTTGAAGACACGGTTAAGCCCTGTTAATTTGGACCTCTTCATTAATGTGAACTCGGAGCATATATACCAAAACGGCAGCATCCTGATTGGGGAGTTGCATACCTGCGGATCACTCCTGGTGGGTACACTCAAGGCTGGATTATGGACTGGGCCAGTGGGGCCAGTGCCCCAGGGCCTCTGACTGCCAGGGGGCCTCCAAGCCTCAGGCCGCGCGCGGTGCGTGGCCCAAGACTTCATAAGGAAGTTGAAGGCCAGGGCCCTCAGTGCGCACAGTGCAAGCTGACCACTAGGCCCCTGTGTGCTTATAGCACGAGCTGACCACTAGGGTCCCCCAGACCCCTCTATTTACAATGTGAGGGCCCTCAGACCTATTGGTGTTAAAAACGTGAGCTGACCACTAGGGCCCGCAGGCCCCTCGGTGCATACATCGAGCTCCTTGTTACATACAGAGCATGCTTAAAACGAGAGCCTCTTGGAGTACAGTGCTTCTGTACAACTGAGCCACTGGTTGGTACGCAACAATATGCTGTGCCATGATACAATATTCACCAACAAGTCAGTTCATTCTGCATAACAGGACAGTTTGAAGGGCGTCATATTATGGCAAGCCTTTTGTTATGACTTACCGTAACTAGCTGTGACTTTATTTTAGCTAGCTGCCAATTTTCCCTAGTAAGCTGCCCATATGATTCAGCTTGTTAACAGAAATTAGTTAGTTGGCTGCCATTTTGCCAGCTAGCTGCCCTTACAACCAAATTAGCTGCACTAAAAAGCCAACTAGTGAGACCGAGGGCTCGCCGTTTGTTGAGAGCTTAGCCGTTGACAAATCAATTATTAAAAATACACTGAGGTTTTGTGAAACATAAAAAAAAATGGCAAAAGCTATATTATTTTCATACACTAACGCATATGAGACCCAATCCATACTTAAAGATTAAGGAAAACCCCATTAATTTTTTCCATAGACCGATCCATGGAAGTAGATAATGCTAACATTGACATGCAAATTGTCGCACAGCTCTTAGGAGGTCTTTTTTCCCCCCCTCCCCATCGATGGGATGTGGCCTATGTGCATAGTCTCCACCAAGTAATGTCACTGACTTATCAGAAATCTTGGGTTCAGCCAATAAAAAAAAGTTATCTTTTTTTAATTAAAGCAACATAATTATCTATAGGAAAAGCGACAGACAGATGCCTGTTTCTTTCTTGATACACCACAGTAATATATTCAGACTTTAAAAATCTTTTTTTAAACAACAGCCTTTTTAAAGGCTATTTCAACAATCCCTCCTAAGGGCTATTTTCTGCCTTTTTAAAGGATGAGGGTTATTTTATATGCTTTTCTATTTTTTTCCTTGATCTACTCAAAGCTGCCTTTAGGTACAAGTCGACTATAAAATACTACCACTTGATTGTATTTTCCAACAACAGTATTTTAAGGGTGTTGTCATTAACTAATAATTGAATTAATATATTTATTATAAATATTGAGATATGCTATAAATAAATTCATATAATTAGCATACTAGTTATGAAATATGGACCACAAAAGTTGGAGAGAAATGAGATACTCGAATTGAGGCTGCTGGACTATGTGCTAAATTGGACAACTTAGAGATGGTGTTCATGGCACATTTCTGGGACGTCATATTTGACCGGTTCCATGCTACAATCATGCACCTACAGAAAAGTGACATTGACATCTCTGTAGCAGCACAGCTTTTGTCTTCGTTGAGGGACTTTGTGGTGGGACAGCGAGACCAGTTTGAGGCTTTTGAAAGGGAAGCCTTAAACGTGACAAGTGTCTCCGTCATATAAGCACGATCTTCAGCAAAAGAGGAAACGCTAAACATTTGCAGATGAGAGCTCAGAGCCAGGTGTGACACTTGAGGGGAGGGAGAAGTTCAAAATAGAATCATTGTATGTGGTCATTGATAAGCATGCCTTGAACATCGCTTGGACGCTTACAAACGTTTGACCAGTCTCTTTGGAGTTCTGTTTGTCAGATCAGGTGTCTAACAGTGATGTCCTAGTGGAAAAGGTAAATGCACTCTCCTCTGCATAACCATCAGACCTGGACATGAACTTAGCTAATTAACTCATCCAATTCAAGTCCTTCATGTCTGATTCTGAGGGTGAGAAGTGCCCAACTAAATTGCTAGAGACGTTGCAGGCACTTAATCTGCAGTCAGTGTTCCCCAATGTTTTTGTGGCACTTCGGATTTTTATAACTTTGCCAGTGACAAACTACCAGGGTGAGCAGACATTTTTTATTTTAGGCAGAATAAAAAATGAACTTCAGAGTAGCATGTGCTCATTGTCACTTATGTCAATAGTCAGACAGCTCGATTTTGATGATCTAGTGGATGATTTTGCAAGGAGGAAGGCAAAGACACCAATATAGGAAAGCAGGGGGGCCTCCAAAAGACATGTGCCCAGGGGCCTCGTGGGACCATGATCCGGCCCTGGTTACACTGCAAAAATGCCATGACACGAAGGATAATGCGATCTAACCCAAAAACCTTTATTATGAAGGATAACGATATCTAGTTTACATGTTCAAGTGACAAAAATAAAAATGTAATATTCCAATCTTAAATTTTTTCAGGATGTTGCAAATTGGTTGCATCAGCAAACTGCAAAGATTTCCCATCAAGCATTACTGCTCTACATGGCAACCACGATGTTATATGTGGTGGAGCAGCTACACATGGCAGGCATCATCCATACGGACATCAAGCCGGACAACTTTGTGCTAACTAACAGGTGTGTACTCTCTTCATTGTTGCATGAATCGATTTCATACACCAAATTGGCAGCTGCAGAGAACTGAGAAATATTAAAGCATAGTGCTGCAGTATGCTTGTCAAAACCTTTTGTCATAAATACATTTCAAATCATTCCATAGATATGCAACATTCTGATAATGTAGTAATCTTAAATGATATGCGTCATTTGTATATGTTGATGTATGCTCCATTACAGGAACAATAGGTGGTCATACAACATTGAAGACTGCCTCTCCTCCAGGCTGGTGCTGATTGACTTCGGCCAGAGCATTGACCTCAGTCTCTTTCCTTCTGGCACGGTCTTCAAAGGCTCCTCAGAGACCTCTGCTTTTCAGTGCATTGAGATGTTGACTGACGAACCATGGAAGTTCCAGGTAAACCACTCTTCAATCTGGTTTCAAATATGTGCTAAACGTTAATCTAGTTTCTCCATATTTTAAACTAATCATTTGTTTTGTCTTGTAGCCCGATTACTTTGGCATTGCCAGCACAATGCACTGCCTGATTTTTGGAAAGTACATGGAGGTCTACAAAGATGGAGATCTGTGGAAAATGAAAAGTACCTTAAAAAGGTGAGCTTGATAATGGTTCTAAGTTTTATGTGTACATATATTGCAATGTGATTTGTTTTTCTGAAGCCATTGGAAGTTGCTTTTATTTGCTTGGAAAATTTTCACTTACATGAATGCATACTGAATTCCCAAGCATTTTTATGGAGTATATTTCTGACATATCAATGTTAACTCCAAGGATCCATGTCTCTTGCTTGAAAGATCACTTTGAAAATATTTTAAATACTCTTAAAATATGCAATAGAATTACATTGCAAACCCTTAATACGTTATAAAATTGGAGTATAACATCTTTATCATGGGTGATGTCTGGCTGATGGGATTGTTCCAGGTGGCACTTTCCAGTGTGGAACCACTTCTTCTCCACGCTGTTGAATGCACGAGACTGCCACTCTACAAACATCTTGGTGGACCTGCGCGCGCACTTGCTGCAGTTCATGAAGAATGATGAACGTACCTTTCAGAGCCACCTGATGTCCGTCTGGCGGGACTTCTGTGCCTATCTGAATCAGAAAGTAGTGCGCAAGAAGTGAAGAATGTCTTTCCTCCTAAACATGTGCCTGCATTAAAGTGATATGCTCTCAATACGAGTTATGTTATATCTGTCGACGAGCACCAATACGATAGTGTTCATTTTTGGAACATAGTGATCATTTGGAAGTAAACATAACAGGAGTAAATTTAATGAAAACAAATCCAATATCTGTCTACTGCTCGATGAAGGTAACTTTTCCCATACCTATTTTACTAAGCCCCTGAATTCCAGGCGTGCTGTTTATTTACCTACATTTCAGTTGAATGTGGCATTGGTTTCACTTATGTGTGCAGTTAAGAAATGTTTTTTACATTGTATAAATAAGCTAGGTGTACGTTAAAATGTTTCCTGTTAACACTTTGGTTCTATTCTGATAAAGCCTAAATGTCATTTGCATAAAACCGAAGTATGTGTCCCATTGTTTTTGGTATATATTTAGAAATGTGGTAGTTTCACATAAGGCAGTGGTTATCGATATTTTAGTTAATTCGGCCCCCAAATCAAGACTACTGGTGATTAATGCACCCCCCCCCCACCCCAGGTTATTATGGCCACAATATAAAATCACGTCCTCTGCAGTGTTGGCGAGGCATTTGTTTGAAGTGTTTTCTTGAGCCTTTTCACCGCAATTTGGCACTAAAGTTTCCCGTGCGCATTCTAAATGTATTCTGCGCAGTTGCCATTCCACAGCCTGAAAAGGCTTTCATAGGTGTATAATCCTGACTTGAGGTGTTGCATGCAACCAACTACAGCTTGTCTAGATTCGCTTCCACGGCATACTTTTCAGTGTGCAGAGCTTTGATGTTGCACACATACTTCTACAGTTGTAATTTAGAAGTGTTTTGATTTTACTCATATACTAAAAAAAAACATTCTGGCTGGATTCCTGGCTTGTGCGAGCTTTGGTGATGTTAGTGTGTACATCTTCATGATGATGTCACCTGCATCCCCACAGCGTTGAGCCAGATTCGTGCGTGCAGACGTCAACCCCCCCCCCCACTCTCCACCTCGGCCGTGTATCCCGCGCGGGTAGTGCGCGTACAGAAAATTGTAACATGTCCCCAAATGATTACAGTCTGAAAATGTTATCCGTGTAATACGGTTTTCAAGTTGGCTATGATTGTTTGACGCAATTTCAAGATTTTTTTTTAAGAGTTTGCTCAAATAAAACGTTACCATTGTTTTAAGTGTAAAAATGGTTTGACTTAAACGTGTATGTGTGGAATGTGCTGTGCTTGTGATAAATTAGCTCTTACAATAATTTTTTTTCATTTAAAAATTACTAGTGGAAAGTACCCGGCTTTGCCCGGGCGAAAAATATATTTCAAAACTTCTCATAAATTTTTTACATATACATAAACAGATACTAAGCTATTGTTAAAGCCCGGTGGTCCGTTAGTCCATTTCTCCACCAACGAAATTATAAGAGGCTTGCAGAAGTCCAAAAAGTAATAGAAAGTTGGGGGTAAATAGTTGACTTAAAAGGTTTCTGAAAATTCTAGACCCCCCCCCCCTCAAATATTTTATTTATCCCCCGCGTAGGTATATATACCTACACACCCTACATGCAACAAAGTTGTATCTACTGACTGTACAGTAGTATCTACTGAGCCAGTAGTAGCTACTGACTAGTCATGTAGTGACTGTCAGCGTCACTACTGGATGCACACACACACATACGTGTGACGTCACTATACCGGGGAGCGTCACTGCCACAGGCCTGCACATACATGACGTCATCCCGTCCTGAGGTGGGAATGACGTCAGGGCCGGTTCAGGGATCGGAGGGACCACGGGTGTGGTGTGAGGACATGGCACTGTGTGACCCCGGCTGGACACGTGACTGGATCCCAGTGGGGGCGGGGAGCACGTGCACAGCAGGAAGGATTCGACAGAGTTCTCTTAAGAGAGGCGTGACCGGGGTGGGGTCCGGGCACGCCGAGGCCCATATAAGCAGCCTCCTCACAGGGTTCGAGGCTGCCCGTATCAATAATGAAGATTCAGAAGACGCCAAGAAGAGTCAAGCCTCCAGTTAGCGGACCTGCCAGTAGCTCACCTGTCTGGCTCACGCTAGTGTATCCGAGAGTCAGAGCTGGAGAGGATGGTGGTTACCACCCTATGTAACTCGGACAGTGTTGGTGTTAATAAATGGTGTTGCCTCCCAAGAAGTTGTGTGCGCCTATTTGAGCCCACTACATATTTACGCGATCTAACCCGAAAACCTCTATTATGGGTCTTGTGAAGTGCTTTGACAAAAGTGCTATGTAAAAATCCTAGCTAAAATAAGATCATAAAATCAAGGGCTTTGAAGGTACACGATTTCGCCATGCTCTGACGACAGCGGACGACTGCCACGCACAGCACCACAAAGCCACACGCAGACTCGAGGACACACCGCAGTATGAACCTGGAGGGTGACCGACTTCAAACGTTGGAGGCAGCGACCAAGCGGCTAACTGTTACTCGTTCCCCGAAAACATCACTGAAATTCACCCACACACCCCCTATGTATTATTTGGTTATTTCGGTTAAGTCACGTCTAAAGATAAAATAATAAATTAAATAGCATATTACGACGTTTCGATTGCAACACAAGCAATCGAAACGTCGTAATATGCTATTATTTTATCTTTAGACGTGACTTAACCGAAAGAACCAAATAATAATTCCTGCAGTCACGAAAGTTCTAAAATTAAGATTGACCCCCTATGTAATATGGCCGCCCTCGTGGTGGCCGCGTGTCCCTTCCGAGTTCCCGTAGACGTGGGTGGGTGGGCACGGAACGCGTTTGCTTTAGGCGCGCACGTGCGACACGTGCAACACGTGCTCGTGGGATCCCTCCCGGGTCGTGCGGTGCGGCACAGTAAACGGCGCGGGTCGACCGGATACGAAGCGTTACAAAAATAACAACAAAGTTGCTCCTGCTCGAGTCTGGACGCTGAAATGAAGGCGATTTCCGCGTTCGCCGTGTACAAGCCGACAACGGTAAGGGTTTTTTTTTGTTTGTTTAATCGCATACGTACGCACGTTTCTGTCATGCCATTTTACCACAGAGACGTACTGTACAAGCTTCACTAATAACAATAGTGTAATGAATAGGCGGGGGGGGGGGGTCTTGCAACCTACACGGACTGGCAGCAGTGCCTGACCTCCATCGGGTTTCACATAAATATTAACACGGCTAAGGAACCGCTTTGGGGCAACGTTGGCCCGCTAAATTTGGCATCACTTTTCGACTGTAAAAATAGCAAGATCCAGCGCGGAAAGGTCCTTTGTCCCGTTCGTGGATGGCATACGTACTTGTAGAGTATACAGTAATTTGGGATTCGCAAGTTCCATTCGCGGAGTTAATCGGGGTGAAGTATGGTAAACCAAAAATAACCATCACGACGTCAGGGGTGGGAGGCCCTCATCCAGAGCAGTGGATTGACAAAACGACTGTAACACTGTACACTCGAGGCTGAACAGAGAGCCGTGAGGTTCCGAGGTGTTGTATCTTAAATCTGATATATTAATTTCGTCTTTTCGAGAATCCGATGAACGGCCACCGTGTGTGCGTCGTCGATTGTAGTAGAAGAATCTGCCCTGAATCCGGCTTGCTTACGTGGTCGGTTGATCAAAGTGAACATTTGGGGCGAATGGGGTTCTTAATTCCTTCAGTTTTGTCGGCATTTTTGAAAATAACAATTGAAGTGTAATTCTTTGATCGAGGTTTTTTTACGTGTAAATATTTTGTCAGTAATTGGTTCACTTTGATGTAAAAGTAAATGTGTGCTCAAATGAGCACCGATGTAGTGTTTTTCTCCTGTGTACTGTATAGCGTTTAGCCGGTAGTGGAAATTACACTATTATTATATGGCTGGGGTGAGTCTTATCCATCGGACAACCACCGTTGGTTCTCCCCACGAATTCCTACTCTTTTTATCGACCCCAGAGAGGTGATTGGTTGAGTCAACCTCCAACCAGGATTTGAACTTCACAGGCTGATAATGTCCACCGTTTCACAACCTGGCCCAGGAGCTTGCATAGATATAAATGGACGTAGATGTTGTTTGGAATTGTGCGTGTGTGTGTGTACAGAAACCAAATGCAGCCACCAGGAGCCCAATAAATAACAGGGATGTCGGTGCGAAGCGTAAGTCAGCCATGAAAAAACAGCTTCGTCAGGGCTTGACCAATGAGGTGAGGAGAAAAGCCAAAGATAAGAGGCGAGGGATGAACACCAAGGCGAAAGGAGGACGCAACTTGAAGCAGCAAAAGGCCATCAACGATCTTGCAATGGAGGCATGCTCCGAGATGTCAGAAGGATGTGCAGCTGTGCAGGTGGAGGAGGAATCAGGGGCTGAAGAGAGACAGCAGAATCTGGTGAGGCTTGTGTTATCTGTACTAATTGTATTTACCTTCCCCCCTCTCCAATACAATAACGCTGTATTATATTTTGCACGTGCATGATTGAGAAGTATGGTATTTATGACATTTTAAAATCAAATTTGGTTAATGGATGATGATGAATGGAGTCAAAATTAAAGCCTCCAAAGACTATACTCGTATATGTGTTTGTTTGAAGGTTGCAGACACAAACAGGCAGGTGATGGAGATGAGAAGGAAAGCAGTGGGAGGAGCTTGGCAGGTGAAAGAAGCAGAGAAGAATATGACGAGGTCCCTATCGTCACTCCTCGGCTCACTGGACCTTGTGCAGAACAGCCGACAGCGAGCAGAGCAGCTTTTCCAATGGCTCATCAATCCCTTCCCAAGCAAACAATTCTTCAGGTGAATTTACCTTTACATTTGATTCGGTCATGAAAAAATAACGTCATGTAATGTATAAAGTGGCCGTGTTCTCTCTTTATTGCTTATCAGAGTACATTTCTGCTGTGAAGTTGTCATTGGGATTGGTTTCTTTATTGAAGAGAAGAATTGCATTGCAGGACATTTTAAATGTTTAATGCATTTTGTTCTCATGCAGAAAGCAGTGGGAAAAGCACCCGACCTTGCTACAGCGGCACAAACCGGACTACTTCCAAGGCCTGTTTTCCACCACAGAGTTTGACCGAATTTTGCGAGAGGTACGACCCAGACCAAGAGATATGTAGTCTTGTCATTGGTGAAATAAAAAGTGCTCCTGTTTGGTGATCCACTTCGCGTTAAAATGGCTTATTTTGTGAGCATATGATATCAAGTATTTTTCACATTCTCTGGGAAATTATGAATTGCGTTCATTGAATTTCACGAGTCATCATCGTTGTGTGTTCTTAGAGTTATGCCCATTCGCTATTCCTACATATGGCTGACACATCTGAATAAACATTGCTGCAGAACTGTATACATATGTTGGTAAAAGGCTGGTCGTATGTGTATTATAAACACACTGTGTGAGCCCAGCTTTGAGAAGCAACTGCCGCCCTTGTTTCACAGGAAGTAGTTCATTTTGGGGTGAACCTGGACGTGACTTCGTACAGAGACGATGTGAGGGAGACCCACAACCCACCCGGTCGTGCACTGCCCTCTGTAGTGTGGGACTTTTACCAGGCGAGTACCTCCATTCACAGCAGCAGTGTAATGTGGCCTCAATCCCTCGCTTTGTATTCATTCTTAAGCTGACAATAAAATGTATGTATTTTATGGGTTTGCATGGTCTCTGAAGCCACAAGTGGCCTTTAAATTAACCACATTGTAACAATAATAATGTATTGCTTGGGGGTGGGATAAATCATTACATATTTAATTAACTGGTAAAACAAAATCCGTATGTAGTGTAGCTCTCATTTAAATACTATTATTTTACGTTATGTAATTTAACAAAACAGAAAAAATACAAGCCAACATTTAATTTCAGGCATAAACATTCTGAGCTATTGTTATTGCTGCATAGTCATTTGTGAGTAATTTTGTTGTAATGGAGATTTTTTTTTTGTGCAGAATGGCTGCTCCCTGAGGCTGTTAAATCCCCAGTCATTCTCCCTTGCCACCTGGAAAGTGCTGTCGATTCTGCAGGAGAAGTTTGGCAGCATGGCTGGTGCCAATGTGTGAGTCAATGCGTGTTGCTGCTTCATTGCACGAGATATAATTACACCGATATTTTTTTGTGAAATTAAAGGGTTCCACACTTCCTATTGGAGTACATTTAAAAATGGCAGATGACTATGTTGCTATTGCAGTTCATCACGTGTGAGTGTCAGATGGTATTTTACACATTTGCTTGACTGGCTCACTGTATATCCTTTACATATAAAGTGCTTAATTGTTCATAAAGAAGCAAATGGCTTTGTGTCTGCGGCTTTGTTCCTGCCTTCATCACACACGAGTGGTGATAAATTGCAACCCTTTTTCAATCCACTGTTGGATGAAGGCCTCCCCATAACGTTTTGGTCATGGGAGTTATAGATATTGTTTGATCATATTTCGCCATGTTCATTCTTGTAGTTTGGTGAATGGTGGGGATGGTTGCAGGAATGGTTTGGATATTTGCCTTTGCTGGGAGCCAAAACTCATGCCCCTCTATCTTACACTCATTGTTGATTAAAATTCACAGAGCTGTGATTTTAGCAAGTGAAATTACTGTTAATATTGAGCTGTACCTTTCATATATTGTTGTTGTGGACGGCTGTGTTTCTGCAGGTACCTGACTCCGCCAGGCACCCAGGGCTTTGCCCCACACTATGACGACATCGAAGCCTTTGTGTTGCAGCTGGAGGGGAAGAAGCACTGGCGCGTGTATAATCCCAGGTACAAACCAATTTTCCTCTGTTCCTATGAAAGGTTAAACTTCACATAATGCCCCTTGCAATGATGTGTTGTGCCAACGCAGTAATTTCACTTGTATTATATTGATGGTGATAATCAACATTTACACTGCATTGGTTTTCAAGTTTCTTTTTTTTAGCCAGGTGAGAACTCAAGAGACCAGGAAAGTCTCATGTGCAAGAGTGACCTCTGGGGCATTAGGCTGCCAGACAGGGGCAACGTTTGCAATGTTTAGGCTCAAATGAGTAATTTGCTGGTAATTTTAACATTTTTGCAAATTTAGATCATGACTAGCACACAATTGATGTTAAAATCCATTGTAAATCATATATTGTAAATGGTTATTACTCCTGCAGCAGAAAACAGTGGTCACTGGAGTCTAACTGAATCTCTGCAATTAGCGGCGAATGCACTCACTCGGCCATGTCACCATCTTTCAGTTGTGCTTTATAGATTTTAGATTTGTTTTTGGATTATATGGCATGTTGTTTGAATGTCGTGTGGAAAAACATGTATTACAGCCCAAAAACGCAAGGGAGGTTAATATTTGCAGCATTAATGGAAAAAGTCAATTTGGTTTACATCACACAATGCCATAGAGATTGAATTGATTTAAAAACTGATGGGAATTATTTCCAAATTGTGATCGTTGGTCTTCAGATACGGTATGCAATTTATATGTTTCTAACCTTACATTTGAACAATTTTCGTCTAGGTGTAAAGAGGAAACGCTCCCAAGATTTTCAAGCCGTAAGTCCATGAAACACATCCACTGCATAATCATATTTAAAATCAAAACCCGTAATGTTTACTGGTTATTCCATATATATTTTTTAATAACACCCCTATAAAAATTTAGTTTAGTTCTTTTAAAATGTGTTCGTGGTTTTCATGAGTGCTCAATACACGTGAGTATAAACTTCTGATATTGTTTCTTATTTTGTCAAAGCCATTGCAGACTTGTGTACAATTATCTCTTGTTTTGATAAAACATTTGCAAAAATGCCCTCCTCCCTCATACCCACACTCCATGCTGCTCATGTCTTCTCTGTTTTGAGTCTCTAATCCAGAGGTCACTGGTTCCATCTTCTAGCGCAGTGGTTGAAACAATGGGCATGTTTCTTAAATCCCCCTGATTCTGTCCACCTGTTAGTTGATTGTTAGTGAGCCTGTGGTGGAACGAAGTGCGGGTTACTCCCACCTCAAGACATCTGACAAGTCGAAGAGTATGCCAAAAGATGTATGTTGAACTTCTTTTGCACTATATGTAGCCAACCGTGCTAATTGGAGGTGTGGGGGAAGGAAAACTAAACACAAAAAGCAAAATACCCTCTAGTAGGGCTCTATTGAGCTCCCTCGAGTGGATGCCCTTCCAACAAGCAGTGGCATGAACAAGCAGTTGCAGGGCTGCACCTTGACCTTTTGCCATTGTGTCTGCACCATCGATGATGATTCATAGCCAACTACAGCAGCGCTGATGTGGGAGCCCCCATCCTGGATGTGGTCCTGGAGGCAGGCGACTTGATCTACTTTCCGCGTGGGTTCGTGCATCAGGCCGCCTGCCTGCCCGATGTGCACTCCCTGCACCTCACGCTCTCTACCTTCCAGAGAAACTGCTTCGGTGACCTGCTCGAGAAGGTGAAATCACGCACGCACGCACGCTCTCTTCTTCCGGCTTGCAAGCGACTCCTGCTGATGTTTTTTAAAAGTAATTTCTGGAGGGGATTGGCACGTGTTGTGTCGTGGAGACGGTAAGAGGAATACATGGATCCGAGAAAAACAATGGAAATTGAAGACATTGACTGTTAATAAAAATAAGTGGGCAAATTTCTAGAAGGGACGATGACCAGTGGGTGAGGTTTGTGATGGAATGGCCATGAAGAGAGGGGGGAACATGCCTGAGAGAACAAAAACGCAAGGTTAGAGTGATGAGTTCAGCTCATATCCAGGACCAATATGGATTATGGCAGCACAGAACTACGCGGGTTCGTGATGACACTGGAAGCCCTTTATCGAGGAGTGGATAAACCATGGGTTTTGATAATAATGTCGATGTGAATTTTACTTGAGAATGGAAGCTTTTCAGAGTAGGCTACTTTGTGTAGTAGTCTTTGTAGCTATTATATAAATTTATACAATTACCTGGCACTTAAATCATATAGAGTCCTTTGTTTACAAGGTAAACAGATCTTAATCACAATAACTTGATTGCATAGTTTCTTCAGTTTTAGTTTTGTTATGGAATTGTTCAGAAGCAGAGCGAATATTGGAAAATGTAATTACATGGTCATTAGTTGAAGACTTGCAACAAATAAAATGCATTAATACACACTTTTGTATGTAAGAGTGTTTGCAGTGTCTTTGTTCCTTGTAAATGGGAAAGAACCTGCTAATGTTTTCAACTCTTGCACACAGATAATGCCGGCTGCTCTTCAGACAGCCATTGAGGAGGATGTCGCGTTTCGGGAGGGACTACCTCTTGACTATCTGGATTATATGGGTGTACAGAATTCCGAGACGGTACGGCAATAACGCGTGGATATTTAACATTGCATCACACACACAATGTATAGCCCTATGCGATTGCCATGTCTTTGGTGGAATGACACTTGTATTTGTCACTATCGTTTTGCGTGCGCCTTCCTGTAGGAGGACCCACGAAGAGTTTCCTTCCTCCAGAAGGTGGACAAGCTGATCCGCAAAGTGGCAGACTATGCCCCAGTAGATGCCGCTGTTGACCAGAAGGCCAAAGATTTAATTCACGACTGTCTGCCGCCAGTGTACTCAGCAGGTCCGAATTAAGCATTTCCACTGGCAAATCCACGACCAAAGCACGGATTGCGTCATAATATATTAACATTTTGTAGCGAGGATCGAAAAATGGCATCGACACTGGTACAAATGCAAGTGATTTAAAAGTTCGGTGGCTGGGTAACTCAAAGGTCATAGCAGTGAGCTGGAACTCCTGAGATCTTGTGCTTGCATCTCGACAGCTGCCTGTGATGTTATTGTTTCAGCCGGGTCACCAGTGGGTGCATGAAAAAGCCATCATCCTATTACATTTAGCTGCGCACTTAATGTGGAATTGCAGCTCAAAGAATATTGTTTTGACTGCCGTGCAATGAACATTCCTCTTATAGTAGGTAGGAAAACGTGCTGCCCCCTACTGCATTCACCAGACAGTTATATTCCTTTCCGTGAGTCGTTCTAGAACACAAAGGTGCACTGGGCTGAGAGTTTCAAATTGATTATTTATCTCATCACGTGATGCTGGTAGTATAATCGAGAAAAAATTTGTGGAAAGATTTTTAAAAACGTTAGTCAGCAGATAATATTTCCACCTTGTGCTTACATACGCAGTCTCGCCTGGTTTCCTTGCAGAGGAGAAGGCATGCAGTGTGCACGGCGCACCCGTGAGGTGTGTCAATGGCAAGATTCACGACCTAGTCATCAACGTTGACGGAAACACACAGATAAGGCTGCTCCGTGCCGGGGTCTGCAGGTCTCTTTTTCTTTTTACTATTAATCAGTCTCATTGTGTTCACTCGATTTACTACTGCAGTTATATGTTACGAATTTTCCCTTGAGGCCATTCTAGTTCTACGTAATCTGAACATTAATTAGGATGTGTTGTGTGCCGGTTCCAGGCTGTGCAGCGAAGAAGGGAAAGTCAATCTGTATTACACCGTGGAGAACTCTCGCACATATCACAAGGAGGAGCCCAAGTGCATTGAAATTGACGATTATGTAAGTATGTTGAAAAGTGGTATTCCTGGCTAGCACCGTTGTAGTCATTGTGGCGAAGCCGTGCATCACCTTGTAGTTCAGCACTATCCAACTGTATGCTTACATCTTTTTTTTAATGCCAATTGTACGTGATATTCCTGTCTGTGCATCTGTCACCTGTGAATGTGCATAGAATGTGGAGGCTCTGGAACACCTGATTCATAGCTACCCCAAGTTTGTGACTGTGGATAGCCTGCCTTGTCCTGCCATCGAAGAAAAGGTAGGCGCTCTCTACCGGGAGGTCTCATTAGCCCTGCCTCAATATCGTTTCAGTGAATGTTTTATAATTCGGTAGAATTTTTGCAAACTTTGTTTTCTGGCTTAAGATTTTGGGGATGACAACAGTGGTAAAGGTTTTGACCAGTGCGAAGATAAATATTTTATGATGGTGAAACATGTGCATAGCTATTATAATGCTGTCAGAAATTTGTGCCTAGAGAAATGTTACTGAAAATATGTATGTGCATATTCTTGGGTCTTTCGGTAAAGTCACGTAGATAGTTGACTTTACCGAAACACCCAAGAATATGAATTCCTGCAGTCACGAAAGCTTTAAGTCAAGATTTATTTATGTGCATGCTTGTGAACTATTCGTATCGTTATTTGTTCAATGAAAATTATTTCCTGTCTATTTGCAGTGCAACCTGACCATGGACCTATTTGAAAAGGGACTCTTAACCTTCAAGGAACCACTGAAATCAGCATAAATACAGCTTTTAAAAGACGTTCAACCCTCACTCATTTGTCAAAAAAAATATCCAATCTGTTTTAATACTGGTAGGAACCACCTGGTTCCACCAGCCCACGGGATTATTGTGTCCGTCCGTCGTGCATCCAAAAATGGGAGGGGTGGGGCTGGGTGGAGAGGTTGGGGAGGGGCTGGGTGGGGAGGATGGGGCTGGGTGGGGGTGGGAGGGGTGGGGCTGGGTGGGGAGGGGCTGGTCACCCCGTGGTGCCCTTATAAAACTCAACGTTTAACCTACTCACGCCGGCTTGTGCCCGCCCTCACAGTCGGCTATATTTGCGGAATACACCACACTGCCGTTGACCCTGGCCATTGACCGAGCAACCCAACGTTCCTACCAGCTCCCTCTGCGGGAATGTGTTATTACAATTGATGGCTTGTTTTTAAGTACAATATTCTCTAAATACAATATCATGAGTATAAACCACTGGTAATATACTGTTAATCACAAAATCTTGGATCTTGTGGTTGTGATAAACTGGTGAATAAACTGGGCTCGGAGGTGTAAATATGCCATAAAAATGTTTATTTCTTTCAGGAATACTATTTTACCGCCAACATCTTGTGTAATATTAAACTGTCCGTTTTAATTTGTACGGAATATGAAAATCTGCATTTGACAAATTCCACCAAAACTGAATGTGGCACACCTCACACATTGGAAAAAAAATAAGAGAAAATAAACTCCAGCAATACTACAACATGGTTAATCGTTATAGACCTCGCCAAATCCATTAAAAACCGCAAGCTTTTGACGTATGCCCCCCACTACATGAGCACGCTGCTCGAGCAATGAATGTGGTCACATGCTGCTGCTGCTGCGTGCAGCATGGTGTGCCAGGATACTCCTCCGCTTCTTCTCATAGGAGCTGCTCGTATTCATGTAATCTGTCCATGCGGTGGGCAGAATGCCAACCAGAAACAAGATGGCCCTCTCCACGAATGAGCACACAAGGTAGCAGGCACTTGGGTTATTCGTCGTAAGCGCCTCAACGATTGCGTCTATCACCAGGCCGGTGTCCCTGTTTTTGAAGGCACCTATATCACGTGCCGCAGCCCAGTAGGTGTCGATATATTCGAGGGTGAACTGTGCCTTCTGGCACTCTGTGAGGTTGTTGTGAATGCTCTTGGAGTCCATGTTCTGCAATATCTTCGTTTGGCCAAGGAAGCTCCCAGGCTCTATAAATATCACCTGTTGATAAAAAAAAATGTACACGTTTAACTGGCATACCAACGGAATTATTCTTTGGGGAATTTATGACCAGTGTGGTAAAGTGCAGTCGAACGTCCTTCAGTCTGGCAGTGGATTGACTGTTTATTCAAAATAAAATTTGAAAAACACTGCAGATAATTTTGTGAAGAGAATATTTGCAATTATATTACGTTTAGAGTAAAGGTACAACATGAATGGACACGGAATCTTGCTGCTCTACCATCAGGATGCGTATGTTATTTTTTTTGTGAATTTGTTTGCGGAGTGCTTTGCCTTGCGTCATGTGCTGTTTGAGTCTTGCACATCTTATGATTAGTGCTTTATCGTAAGAAAATACTAGACTGTTGATCTATCAGTTTTGGCATACAGTTGAGGTAAGTCATGCCAAACCATCACCTTGCTAAACATAGCAGGGGTCACCAAAAAGATTTCTAAAATCATGAGCAAACACAAGATCCAGGTTATTGAGTACATAAAATTCGTGATTTGATCCCATCTGTGAAGAATGTGATTCCTGACATGCAATACCCCGGCGTCTACAAACTAAGCTGTGCCTGCGGCAGTAACATTGGGGGAACTAAGCGACATGTCTTGGACCATGTTCGTGAGCATAAGGCAGATCTGAAACACGGTAGGACCAATACCTTGGCCGTGGCTGATCATTGTTTTAATGCGGTGGGGTCACGAAATTGATATCTTCAAGACGAAGGTACTTTGCAAACCCACTGGCTATCAACAAAGATTTGTTCATGAAGCCATCCAGATAAATAGACACAATTTCAACCGAGAAGATGGGTACAAACTGAGCAATCATTGGAAGGACGTTATTAACCAGTTTAAGTCATAACTGGCTGTGATGTTTTCATCCTACCTTCCGATGTTAGTAGTTATTTTCGACTTTTGATTTTACATTAGTTAAATGTCCCACATTAACACAGCTACCGTCGCTCGTGCCCTCGATGTGACGGCGGCTCTGCGATCTTACATTGACATGCTAATTTATCACTTTGATATCACTAGCCCCGCCCACTTCGTTTATGATTCTTGGGCTACACTCATTTCAAACCTTTAAAACAGCCTGCCTCAGCAGTTTTCCCGTCTTTTTTCTCCAGATGACGATTGCTTGTGTTGCGATCGAAACGTAGTTTTTTTCAAATTATTTTGACTACCGAAAGACCTAAAGAATATAAAATTGTCAACTTTAATGATTTAAAGTAGAATATGCAAAAATGCTTCTTTTACATCATTAAGAAGATTGATCAATTTTGACATTGATGCCTACAGATGTTTGTGCTTGGTGTTTTATAATTTTACACTGGAAATTAGGGTCTTATACCTGCACGATAAAAATATGCATCATGAAATAATGTATGTATTTTCAATGTCATGTATGATCATTTACATCTTGTCAGTGTCTCTCAAATCATCCGCATGTGTTGGTGAAGGAAAACTTAAGTTTGGAACCCTTGCACGTGACTTTAATGCGCCCCAAATGTTACACTGTAAAAAGTGGTCTTCACCTTAACGTCCCACTTTTGCATTTCAAGTCGCAGGCAGCTTGAGAACATCTCCACACCGCTCTTGGTGATGCAGTAGCTGCTTATGAATGCGGAGGGAAGTCTGGCTGATATGCTCGATATGTTTACAATTCGCCCTGCATCACACGTGCAACGTGAACATGGAAATGCGAAGGAAAAATATTGAAAGCATTCATATTAATTGGTTCCACGAAAAGCATCGTTAATTGAGATTATCGTTGATTGAATATAGGAAATACATGTTAAAGGCTTAACTTGTTCCAAGGCGATCATAAATTGACCTTTTTCACCCTGAAAACATAGTTTCTAATATGTAAACATGTTTATTTTAATAAACGTTATAAAAACATTAAAATTAATAGAAACATCGATAAATAGAATAGAAAGGTTCATAAATAGAGCATAAAATAAAAGTCTTACCATTGGTGAAGAAAAGCTAGCCAGTTGCTCTAAACGCTCAAAAGGGTGTTGCTGATTGGCTGAGGTGTGCCGAGTCCACTTAGGAGCTCTCCGATTGGCCGAAATTGGCAGCGGCGTGATATTGTAAAGATCTCGTTAATCGAAGATGTATCAAATCTTCTTTGGGTATTTCGGTAAAGTCACGTAGATTGAAATAAAACAACTAACTGACGATTCGATCGCAACACAAGTGGTCGTCATCAGGAAAAGGGGGTTAGCCTCTAAAGCCAAACTGTTTATAAAGGTTTAGAGATGGGCGTAGCCAAATCAGTTTAAGTCATAACTGGCTGTAATGTTGCTATTTTAGACCTGGCAGCCCTTTAATTGGTGGAAGGCCACCACCAGGACCATCACTGCCCACTACTACGTAGCATCACCACTAGCAGTAGCCCTTTATTAGTGGAAGCTCACCATCAGTGCCCTCGTGCCCCTATATGAGTACCATCACCTCTAGCAGAAACCTCCATTGTCAACAGTGTGAGTGTGTAAAGCGAGGTGCAAATATTACTTGCCAGCCCTTTAATTGGTGGAAACCCACCACCAGCGCCGTCGTTGCCCTCTACGAGTAACTTCACTTACATTAACAGCTGTCCCGCCCATGCTGCTGACACTTGGGCTACACCCATATCAAACCTTTATAAACAGTTTACTTTTTGAGGCTAACCCCCTTTTCCTGATGATGGCTGCTTGTGTTGCGATCGAAACGTCGTAGTTTTTTTTTTGAACCTATCTACGTGACTTTACCGAAAGACCCAAAGAATACGAATATGTATCGTTAATATAAACTATAGGACCCTATGGGAGGCGGATTGTTAATCGAAATTTCGTTAATCGATTTTGTAAACTGGGGGACCACAGTATATGGTTACGTGTTTTAGAACATTCATATTTTGACATTTCTCTCGTAAGATGTCAGATATTGACGATCCAAGAATGGCATTACCAGTTTACATACGGCTTGCCCATATGGGGGACGAAGATGAGCACGACATTTAACTTACCCAATCCATAAATCAAATGCTGTCCATTTGGTGTACGTCAAGCATCAACTAATCTGAACATGCCCTGTTGTCCTCTTTGGTATGGATATTAATTGAGTTGCCACAAAAGATTGATGTTTAAGTTGTAAAATGAGATGGTGACTTCCAGGCACAACAAGTGAAATCCCACTCGTGCACTTGGAGAATGTTCACAGTGGATAGTTAATTATATGTTTACACTTTGAGAGTGCATTGCATTTGGCCGATTTTTTTTATGATGCAAGGTAGCCAATTATGTGGTGATGGCTCGATGGTGGGGCCTTCCATGACCTGCTTATTCAAGATGATGGCGTTCTCGCAACTGTGCTTCTACCAATCTTCGATGCTGCCTGGCTGAGTCTGCCTTGTTTCAGAATGGCAATGTGGTGCGTTCAGTGGCGAGTAGTATATGGTCTGTGGTGTCGAGGGAGTGTCATGTCACCCGTCTGTAGGAATCTGTTGGCTGCTCAGTACATAATTTGAGTACTGTATAAGTTTGATACATGCTTGCATACACAAGTATACAGACTTAAAAAAACATTTAAACAAGATATGCAAAGTTGAATGTATTTTACGTTGTCTTATCACGAAACACTGGTAAGGCACAGTGCCGTGAGAAAAGCTAATACACAAGCATAAACGGTACAGAATAGAGTTAATCAAAGGTCACCTTTGCTGGCCTTTATGAGTGGCAAGAAGGCCAGTGTGGTGCGGATGGTGCCCCACAGGTTCACGTCGGCCACTCGCTGGTACGAGTTCATGTTGGACATCTCCACTTCGCCCATCTGTGCAATGCCTGCGTTGTTCACTACGGCCCACAGGTCTGAAATCGATGGAAAAAAATGGAAAATGCTTTACTCAAGTTTTTTGGTTCAAAAACAAGTAGCTGGGTTATAACACAACTAGAGAACAAAAATGACTTGGGTATGCAACGTGTCACAATGTGCATACTTTGGATGATTTGGATTCCAGTAGCTTCACTCAAACTTGTACTGTACTGTGAGGTTGTGGTTAACAGTTGAATTGTAATGCACTAGTGGTATTGCTATTATTGACAATTCTGCATGGGATTTTTTTTGTACTGACCTGAACTTAATGTTTTATTTGTACCAGGTTTTAATTTGCACAAAAACAATGGCTTCCACGTGTTGCAATCTTTCCAGTGAAGGCACTACTTAGTGGAGCCAGTGTGCTACCTCTCTCTGGTCACTTTGTGCCCCCAAATTACTGCTAGTTTTTGGAAATCGACACCACAATCACACGTACGGTACTGTGATAACTGGACTACTCTTCAACACACCGGCGGGCTCAAGTAGTGAACTATTTGTTTTTTGTCAAAGTGACACTTTTTTGCTGATTGGCCGTGTCGGGTAGTGGAGGGTTACAACACATTTATAAATAACGTTATCTCACCCAAAAGCGTTTATTATGAATTATTATGAACTGGACCACGTTACGTTATGGTTTATTTAGCAGTACTGTAGTACTCCCATGGTTAAATATGCAGTGGCCTATAATCACGTAAAAGCACTAATTTCAGAAGCTGACTGAAGTACAGCATTGCCTAAACAGCCTCCGTGACCGACACGTGGGTGCAGTGCAGGCCATTCCACAGTGGACCGATAACGAGCTGTAAAATATACACGATACAATGGACTGCACTTTGTTCTGTTAGCAGATAGACCAGGAACACAATATCTTGCACAATGCATATTGAAGCATTTTGTCCACAGTTGAGTACAGTACTGAAATCTAAAAACATCTCGCATTTAAACAAGGCTTAGCTTGTTGGATGGCCAAGGGTTGCAACCCCGAAATCGGGGAATTGGCGTCGACGTTCAGGTGGCAAGGATGTATTTGTATTACGATCTCGTGGTATTGTGTTTAAACGCATATTTGTGATCAAGATGTCTTGCGACACCCAATTTATTGACCCCTAACATGTTTTGCTTGTCATATTAATTTCTGTTTTGAAAAACCCTTACTTTAAAAATCCATAATAAAGAGGGTTTGTTTGTTAGATCCCGTAACAAACCTTACTAATTGGCTGTGTTGGGTGGTGGCGGGTTTAACGACACATTTACGAGATCTAACCCCCCCGCCACCCCAAAAACCCCCTTAATTATTGGTCGCGAAAGCCTACGTGTTCAACATACTTAAAAAAAAATCCGTTTTGGAGAATTCAATGGGGGTGACAAAGCAGTTTGATCGGTGAAAAAGTTGACAACCATACTGCCCCAAGCCTCCTCCTGTGTCCACCCACCCGCACGGCCGCATCTCACCTGCCTGCCGACCCATGCGGGTGACGGCTGCATGTGCCTCCTGCACCTGCTCGTCGCTCGTGACATCGAAGGGCAGGACGCGCAGGCGGTCGCTGCTCTTGCTCGCGAGCTCGCGGGCCCCTTCTCCGTGTGGCTGCAGGCAGCCGGCCAGCACCCGGACTCCCATGCCGTCCAGACGCCTCGCCAGCTCGAAGCCGAAGCCGCTGTCGCAGCCCGTGATGAGCACCGCCCGGTCGCGCAGGGAGACGCGGGGTGCGCGGGTGAGGACCGATTTCACCACGATTATGATTATGCGCACGAGGAGGGCGATTGCCACCAGCAGCACCATCGCATACGATCCACGCAGCATCGACATGCCTGCAGATGCCGCGCCCACGGCGACGGTCAGCCACAAGTTGTTTTCAGCCATCCTTGTGTCTGTCGCGTGTCAACACGAATGGGATGGCTTCTGAATGCGCAACCGTCACAAAGTGCGCTTGTACGAGAGCACGTGCTTCTCTCTTGGTCGAAGTGCGGAATGCGCCTTGGGTGGTTGGGGTTCGTAATCGCGTGGAATCTACCAACTCAAACAGTGGGGTTCGGTTTGCAGAGGTGTTGTCATTTTTTTTTCGTTCGCTCCGAGCTTATACAATGCCCTTGAGAGTATCTGCCATGACCCACCTTAAAAAAAGTAAGTTAGTAGAAGTATGCTTGCGTGCGTTAAAACTTAATTCATCAGCGCATTCATCCGCGGTGAGGCTAATTGGTCAGAATGTGTTCGACCACATCGCTTTGTTTTGTTTTTTTCAAGCATAACCCTAATACGTCATTCCTCCAGACTCTTTCACCATTCCATTCGAGAGTATCCTTTTTAGAGTTCGTATGAACTCAGTGTATTTCATAATCCACAACGAACCCTTGTGATGTGTGTTAGTCTGGCGACGAAAGCACATCACACGATACTTTGCGTATCTTATAACGGGAGGTCCAGTTGCATACCTGTCAACCCATTATCAGTGCCCTACCTTATTACAGACCAATTCAGACCTTAGTGGTCACCTCGTGCCCTTATAAATCTCAACGTTCATCCGACAAATTCCCATCACAAGGTAGAACCACAAACAGAAAACATGTTGCCCGTATTGAAACGGCTGTACGCCGTATGCACCTGAAAACTAAACTTCTTTGTACAATAATAGGGGTAAACCGTATGGGTTGTTGACAGGAATGCGGTTGAGAGGGCGAAGAGGAAGGACAGTGAGAGGAATGCAGATAAGGAATGCACCTCCGATTATCACGGTGAGGGACGTGCGGTGCGAAAGAAGTTCAACATACGGTACATACCACACGAGCAAGACGAAGAGAGAGAGAGAGAGAACATCATGCGGTAGTGGCGAGGGAGCCAGAGACCAGGGCGGAAAGAGCGAGATAGGTGTCGTCTCAATTCAAGCGGAGTGAGGGAGTGTGAGCGAATGACATTGTGTGATGGCCACGAGAGAGGGCACCTTGAATATCTGTGTGAATGCCATCTTAGAGCACACGGAGCCAGAGCGGAATCAAGTCGTGTAGTCTTCTTGGTTCCTTCGGTTAAGTCACGTAGAAGGGAAGTAATAAAATAATAAAAATAAAACATAATAAAATAATTCTCACGACGTTTCGGCCACAACGCAAGCAGCCGTCCTCAGGTGAAGACCAGGTCTGTCGGGGGGACAGAGTCTGAAAACGCTGTCTCCCCGACAGACCTGGTCTTCACCTGAGGACGGCTGCTTGCGTTGTGGACGAAACGTCGTGAGAATTATTTTATTATGTTTTATTTTTATTATTTTATTATTTCCCTTCTACGTGACTTTACCGAAAGAACCAAGAAGATGAATCCCTGCAGTCACGAAAGCTTTAAATCGAAATTTAAGTCGTTGTGGTGAAGTACAAACCATAACAAAAAAAATCACCGACGACCACGACATCCATGCAAACATCCTGTCAGTGCTGGCGAAATCCGTACAGCGTCTCGACTGACGCCTTGGATTGGTTGACCAAAACTTAGCAGTCAACTCCAACGCGTTTCAACACTCTTTGCTTTTCCCTCCTACAGTGCGAAAGAAGAAGACGGCAAACCAAGCATTGTGTGTTGTTGGTTCTTATTTACGCTGGTTGCATATCTGTCAACCCATACGGTTTAGCCCGTATTCATGTACAAGGAAATTGAGTTTTCAGGTCCATAAGGCGTACAGCCGTTTCAATACGGGCAAAAATGTTTTGTCTGTTTGTGTTTCTCCCTTGTTATGGGACTTTGTAGGGTGAACGTTAATATTTATGAGGGCACGGGGTGACCAATAAGGCCTCAATTGGTCTGTAATAAGGTAGGCACTGATAAGGAGTTGACAGCTATGGGTTGGAACATATTAAAGTGTGCGAAGAGACTGCAATAGACTCTACAGTGAAGGGGGTGGCATTTCTACCCAGTTCACAAATAATTCCTTTATTTGTCACCAGGAGGCGTGCTAGTTGCGTGACAGTGGTGAGAGCATTGTAGAGTTCAACAAGAAACCCAGAGGGCTTCATTGTGGGAAGTAGTGGAGAAACTTTTGAGCGTGCTGGTGGTGCAATTACACGAGGGTCCATGGGCCCAAAGGGGCCAAACACCGAGCTATAAATAGGGGGGAAAGGTGGAAAGGGGTCCCCATTTAATTCCTTGTTACAGGTCCACATACCAACCACACTAACGCCACTGGCGTGTGGCTCTGTTAGTTGTATGAGGTCTTCATCACGCTAAGCGAGTTTGGTCATAACGTGGGCTGGCAATGCAGGCAATTGAGTTAAATGCCATACAGTTTTAATATGAAGTGTATAGGTTTCAGGCCGCAGTATAGTGGTTGTAGGTGATGTTACATCACATGCGATAAGCACGGTTGGCTACGGTGCAAAATAAGTTCAACATACATTAAGAGGAAAAAGTGTAACTTTACATTCTGGAACAGCAGAAACCAGTAAGATTGTATAGAATGTCTATTGTAACGCTCTCGTATTTTATCAAGTATACTCGGTTAAAGAATACAGGATTGCACGATTTGTAGCATTAATAAATAGTGGGTAGACTTGCATGTTCTTTTAAAACTTTTTTTTTATCTCAATTACTTTCTGATATTTCCATTGGCGTCCATTTAATGAAACAAAACGTGTACATTTCTGAAGTGGCTGTGGTTAGGATGCGGCTTATTTATTACAACGGTTTGTATTCAGTATCAATGTACAGATACGTGCAGTACTTTCTGTACAATAACATCGCACAACCCCAGTAAAGTGTGTCTACGTTTGTTATTCTAAAAGATCTTAATACCTGCTCCATAAGTCGCATTCCTCAGATAAAACTCGCTACACCCTGTGCTCCATCTTTTGTCAACCTATGTCCCAAATCATGCAGCGGTCTTGATTTCTCTTTCAGCTGCAGCTAACCATCTCGCTCTATCTCTCTCTTAAGCTCCCCAATTCATACACAACTGTAGCCTCTCTTTCTCTCTGCCCATATTATCTTTCCTCTCCCGACTCTGCCTTCCAGAGTTGTTGTAGCCTTTGCCTGTGTAGCCAGTATGGGCTTAACGGAATAAATCACACCCCGAATTGTCCATAATATAGGCTTTTTTGGGGGGTTATATCTCGTAAATGTAAATGTGTCGTTAAACTCGCCAAAGTTGAACAAAAACAACAAGATGGCATCGTTAACATCGTGGTACTTGTTGAATTTTAAATACAGGGTGCTTCAAGAAAAATGTTAACACTTCTGAGAATTTGCAATAAATGTGCCTCCGGGCTCTGGAGACCACCTGGAGAAGATTCCAGGCACGCGTTGACAATGATGGCGAACAAGTGGGACACTGTTTGACTTTTTGAAGCTATTAACATACATTTGTTATGTTACAGTGTATTATCCGTTCTTTTTCCATTAAAAACGATAGTCCTATGTAAGTGTTCACATTTTTTGAAGCACCCTGAATATATGAGTGCCAATACGCTGTCTAGTTTAATAAATTCAAGTTAATTCAGTGGATATACAGTAATGGGAAGGTGATTAGAGTGTTATAGTGATAAAAAATAGTTCATTTTGTGATGGTTGATTAAATTGAGTGATATTTAGATATATTATTGTGGAAAAGAAACTCGCATATAATGCCTAACCAGCAGCTTTTATTTTAACAGAGCTGATGGAGTGAGGCAGAATTATCTTTGTATTTTGGTAGAAATTGTTCTGATTCAGATATAAGATAGAATAGTATGCCTTATACATTTATGGTGATTACAATTATTTTCTAAATTGACATTTTATTAATGTATAAAAACATTTATTATCCAAGCAAATATTTACTTTGTGCAGTATTATCAAAGTGGCTGTGACTAGGATAACGTATTTAGAAGGCAGTCTGGATGTTTCTTTAAGATGTTTTGTACATATTTCAGATGTTTTATGTTAAATGTGTATTATATATGTGTAGGACTTGAAATGACACGCACCACGCGTTTGGTTGCGATGCGAGCGTGCAGCGAACAGTGGGGGCAACTGAGGACATACAGTTGTTGTTGCGCCAATTAAGGGGTGAGGTCATTAAGAGACGCCACAGGTGTTAAGGGTAAATGAGAACGCAGGCCGGTGATTGGTCGAGAGGGTGAGTGGTTGATGACTGGCGCCGGGGTGGCGACGATAACAGGATCACGTGAGGCTGGGGGCCTGGGGGCGAGTAGCGAAGCGGGGGATGACATAATTCATTGGGGCTGATTGGTTCGGGGATAAAGGCAGTGAGCGTATGGAGATACGGGAGTCATTGTTAGTGTTGGAGTCGCAGTTGGAGTTAGCGTTGGAGTTGGTGCCTGGACAAGAATGTAGAGTATAAGGTAGCAGTGGGTAAGAGTGTATAGTATAAGGTAGCAGTGGACAAAGAGAATACAGTATACGATAGCAGTGGATATAGAGAGTACGGCCAGAGTAGCAAGGACGGAGCGAGTACACCGTAGCGAAGCAGCGGAGTAACGGACCTTGGTGGAGAGAGAGAGAGAGCGAGCGAAGCAGCAGAGTGAGCGAACGGAGGGACATCAAGTGGGGCTGATGGAGAATTGTACTTTGAAGAGTATGGAGGAACATTGAACGATGCTGTCGGAGATGTGAACTATATGCGAAATAAAAGGAATGAGAAGGACAAAGAAGTTGTCGCGTCAGTAAGAGTCCTACACATGATACGCAGGTGTTATCAGTATGGAGATTCGGGTGGATACTGCACAGTCCAGGGATTGAGTAGTGAGGTGCTGTGTAACAATGGATTAATTTCTGTACATCTGGTCATAATTACAGATGCGCGAATGCTCCTTTGAACACTTTGAAATACAGAGTTGCCTTTCCACGACTCTCTGGTGTAGTAGAGTCACTCGATCCTCAAGAGGAGGGGCAGAACACAACGCAGCGTATTCACTCATCGCCACTGAACTCGTCTATTATTGTGTTTATTTAGCCGGCCTGTCCCCTCGTTACAATCATGGGAGGAGAGGGATAAGGGGCAAGCTGGTTACACCGGAAACCTGTGGCCTGAGCACAGAAAAAATTGTGTAAATCCTAACAGGAAGCGATTTGCATATGCTCCGAAATTCCATCGTGCAAAAGATGGTCGCACGTCAGTGGTTGCTAGGAATTACATCAGCACTCCTGCTCCACCAGCCAATTAGGGGGCGCCACGGTGGCGAGACGTTAACTACCTCGCCTGGTTTACGGGAGGTCGTGGGTTTGATCCCAACACTCACGCCTGTATATTTGGAGTTTGCATGTTCTCTTCCCTGTGGTCGCATGCGTTCTTCTCCGGGTCCTATAAATGTGCACATGGTAAGCCACTTCGTTGAGTTATCATTTGTGGCCACGTCACTGCTGAAAAAGAGATATATAGCTCAGTGGGCCTGACCTGGTAAAATAAGGGGCCGTCCATAAATGCTGTCACGCACCTGGGGGGGGGGGGGAGGGGGGTCAGACATTTGTGACGATGTGTGACGATGGGGGGGTGGTTGAGAAATGTGACGTGACGTAAAAATGCGCAACTTTGAATAAATATAGACAACACGTTCTACTTAATTAAATAAACTTTTTAAACACATTCCTGCGGAGGGAGCTGGTAGGAACGTTGGGTTGCTCTGTGAATGGCCAGGGTCAACGGCGGCGTGGTGTATTCCGCAAATATGGCCGACTGTGAGGGCGGGCACAAGCCGGCGTGAGTAGGCTAAACGTTGAGTTTTATAAGGGCACCACGGGGTGACAAGCCCCTCCCCACCCAGCCCCACCCCTCCCACCCCCCACCCAGCCCCACCCTCCCCACCCAGCTCCTCCCCACCCTCCCCTCCCCACCCAGCCTCTCCCCACCCAGCCCCTTCCCACCCTCCCCTCTCCACCCAGCCCCACCCCTCCCATTTTTGGATTCACGACGGATGGACACAATAATCCCCTGTGGGCTGGTGTAACCAGGAGGTTCCTACCAGTATAAATGTTTTCTCCGAGAACATCAGAGTTCAGCGCCACATTAAATACGCACTACAATGACAATAGTTTAAAGCGATTTGAAGCATTTTTTTTTGGGGGGGGGGGGGGGGTATGCAGCAGAGTAGAATATAGTCAAGCTCATGAACTTATTTTATTTACAGGAGCTGAAGCAAGTCAACTTATGTGAAAATTACATACTCTCCGATGGTTTAATGTGCAGCCATTGCGAGTGGGCTAATACAATCGGTTCGCTACACACGACACCCTGGTTCAATCATGGACGTCTGCCCTGGCTCAGGATATTATTTTACACAAAGGTTTTGAAAAGTGACATAACATCACACAAAGTAGATACCTTGTTACTCATAAACATACGGTATGAATATTTAAACTACGGTACTTTATAGTATCAAAAGCATTTTCAAAACAATGTTCCGCTGGAAATTATGGATCATTTAGGGACAACTCATTTTTCCACAGTTAATGCAGGCAAATATCGGTCGTGAATGTATTACTTATCTTGTAAATTATGCTAGTGCAAGACATTTATGAAATGATTGTTCATACAAGATTATCTATTCCTTATTTTAGTAATTTGTCACTGTAAGAAAAAAGTTTTTTTTGGGGGAACGGAAATAACACGGTCATGGTTTATTAAATACAGTACACCTGACACTTTTTTTTATATTAACAAGCTTTTCCAACCAGTTTTAACCGTCAGAGCATTTTTTGGGCTAAACAGGAGCAGCAATGAAGAAGCAGGGCCAATAAAGGACCTTCCCATCAGTTGAGTTGCACTAAAAGCAGCGTCAAAGGTGCTGCTTTGCAATGATTCTCCCGCAGAGACAGCCGACTTCACGCTGACAGGGATATTAGGGTTACCATGGGGAGGAGGCGGCATGCTGGGCACAAAAGGGAGTAGGCGTCCCTCTTGCGCGCGAGCAGAACAATGTCCCAGCCGCCGGAATGTGGCGCATAATGGTCCCAAACTTCCCATGCTTGCCAAAGCTGCACGGGAGGTGGCTCTGGCCTGCGTTTGTAATCAAGCCCTAAATCACTTGATGCTTCCCATGCCATTTGCCTTTGGCGGTTTTAAAATAAAACACAACTGAGACGACAGCACCGTATTCATAGCTTTTTTTTTATTATGGTAAAGTAATAAAAGTGTTTAATTTTCAATGAACAAAAGTACTACAGAAAACATTGAATGTGAAAATTTGCGTTAAAATTGGCTTAAGTAGCATCTTACAATTAAGGAGTGTACATGCATATGAAACATCTAAATAAAGAGGCAAGCACTTCAAAACATGATAGCTGCTTATTTTAAATTCCAATTTTCCAGGCAGACCTCGCTTAGTGCTCAAGATCCGTTCCTGGAGAAGTGGGCGCTACTTTAATGTATTTCTTGACAGCGTTTTTTTTTTTTAGAAATATAGGAGCTTAATTGGAGTGTTGATGATATCGCTAATAGAGATGGTTAACATTTTATAAATAAAATAATACTTTATGACAATAATATGAGTAGTATGAACAGTACTCATGAGTGAATTCTACAGTAATCCTACAAGGCAGCAGTGGGAAATGAGTTTGGCGGACCGACTGCACTCCCAATCCAGCGAAGAGCTCCAGGACCTCTGTGATCTTAGTGATGCCCTCAGTCTAAATTTAGTTTGGCGAGGTTTCTTTTAGGTGGAGCCCAAGACTATCCTTGTCTCGTGAGTTCTCATCTGGCTAAACAAATCGATGTTTTTGAAATGTCATCGTGAATACGATCGCGATAATTTAATCGTGGGGGTGGGATCTGGTTGGCTCGGCTTACGTTGTCCATTGGCTGAGCGAACGATGGCAGAGGATACGTTTCCTTGGCCAGGGCTGCTGCATAGTCTCAATCGTAGGTGCTGCTCTATATAAGAACGGGAGACACAGCAGAGCCTCACCATTCTGGCGAATTGCCCGATGATGTTGGATGCAATTACCAGCGAAACGTCGTACTCAAATTGTAAATGTTGTGGTTTCACGCTTCAACACACCGGTGGGCTAAAGCAGTGAACTATTTGTCTTTTGTCAACGTGACACTTTTTTACTGATTGGCCGTGTCGGGTGGTGGAGGGTTACGACACATTTATAAATAACGCGATCTAAACCCAAAAACGTTGATTATGAATAACATTGGTCGCGAAAGCCTACGTGTTAAACTGTTAAGAAAGTTTGATTACAATTTTTTGAGTAAATTTTTTTATCCACGACAAAGAGTGCTATAACGAATCAGCGTTCTATGGGGTCACACTAAGCGAGATCTTCCTTTACTCTCAACAGCATGTGATGGATATTGCGTTAAAAATATAGCTACCCTTAAATAAAATATGCACTTTGGATATTTCTGTAGGTAATGCAGCTGCCAAAAATCTCAAAGCCACAAATCTCACGCATTGCAATAATGTGTAATTTTATGAGTATTTCTATATATTTGAAACATATTGGTCATTCAAAATATCTCTGTGTAATTACACTCACGAGGCAAAAGGAAACCGCTTTCCCATGAGACTGTGAGGCCTCACGACGTGCTCCCAATTCCCTAGTGCTTTGATGCAGTCGAGAGCGCGCCTTCGCTTTTGAGCATGCAATTGCGTGCCAGGATGCTCCTTCGCTTTCTCTCGTTCAACGTGCTCGTGAATATGATATCTGTCCATGCAGTGGGCAGGTTCCTCAGCAGGAACACAATGACTCTCTCGATAAACGAGCACACCAGGTAGCACGTGTCAGGTTTGCTAGCTGTCAGTGCCTCCACGATTGCGTCAATCACCAGACCAGGGTTCTTGCACTCGATTTTGCGGAAGGACTGCGATGCTTTCATGTAGGTGTCAATGTACTCCGTGGTGAACTGTGTCTTCTGGCTCTCGGTGAGGCTCCTGTAAATGCTCTTGGTGTCCTGGTTCTGCATGATATTTGTGTGGGAAATGAAGGTTCCTGGCTCTATGAGTACAACCTGTTGATAAAAAAAACGTAATATTAATATCACAGTTACATTGTTTATTCTGCTGGGATACTCTGATGCGCTTTTAGTCTTGAGATGCAGTCGCATTTGATATGCTTCATGAACTCAAATTGGAATTAAAAGTTGTTGACCATGAGAAGAACTTGCTGGGAACTTGTTGTGCATTATCTTGTTTAGTGGTACAATGTAGCTTCTAAATAAGTATGTGCTTTGAAGATAAGATCACATTTCGTTGTTTGTGGTGGCTGCATGTTCCTGGACATTTGCCTGTATGAACAGCATTTGTTCATGATGATAAATAGCCACTGAGCTATGATAATCTGTTCATAGTTATTAACTGTTGTTTTTTTGTGCACAACTGAAATAACTTAAACCTCAAGGCTATTTTGTACAAAAAAATACAATAATTCAAATTATACACCATGTACAAAAAATACAAACAATAGTATTTTGATTGATAGATTTATCTCGATCAATTTAAATACTGCTGTGTGTACTTTCAGTGCTTGGCCATCCTCTTGTTGGATCATTCCACGTAGATTCTGGCTCAGGCTTGTTTAAAATAAGGTAAGTTACATTTATAGAAATATACCTCACACGATGGCTTGTGTACAAAGACACACGGAGAATCCTGCAGTTGATGGGACTGAAGCTACATTTGTAAAGGGCACAGAATAAATGCTGTGAATGGTCTTTAAATGCCATTTCTTTACCTTCACGTCCCACTTTTTCATTTCTACGCGCAGGCAGTTGGAGAAAGCATCCACGCCACTCTTGGTAACACAGTAGGCACTGTTGAAAGATGTGTGGAGATGGGCCGATATGCTGGACATGTTCACGATCCGTCCTACATCAAACACGAGGCAAGAATGCAGATAATTAAACGACGGATAAGACAACAATTCCATTTGGACAAATATAAACATTTACTCATCCTTGTATTTTTTACTAATATTTGTTAACATTCCTGTACCTGATGACGATTGCTTGTGTTGCGATCGTTGTAGTTTTTTGTAATTTGTTTTGTTCTACGTGACTTTACTGAAAGACACAAATAATAGAAGTATTCCAGTTAAATTTCGATTTAAAGCTTTCGTGACTGCAGGGATTCCAGTTAAGTCTTGATTTGAAGCTTTCGTGAGTGCAGGAATCTACCTGATGATGGACGCTTGTGTTGCGCCCAAAACGTCGTGATTTAATTTATTTTATACCTACGTGACGTTACCGAAAGAACCAAAGAGTATAAGGATTCCAGTTAAGGTTTAAGGTTAAGGTTTTACTGCTCAGTGTTGTCCATTCACCTTGGTGAAATTAATCATTTGCATCCTAATTCCTGATACTTTTAGATCAACCATGGAATTTGGTGGAACAGGCAGTAAATTACAATGATTTACACCAGCGGTTCTCAAACGATGGGTTACGATCCACAACAGGTTGATCGCAGAACAAAATAGTGAAACGTAAACATTGCTTTTTTTAATGAATAATATGACACTAAATACGTTTCATCTGAACAACAAGATGGATATAAGATCACGACTAGTCTTGCATTAATTTATAATAAATTACAACAATGCAGTCCTCCACTCGTATGTAAAATGGTGTGGACCAGAAAGCTAAAACGTGGTCAAACTGAAGGTCACCTTATCCATGCTCGCCAGCCATGCTGGTGGTGTGAATTCCAGTGCTTCCTCAACCTTTTTCACTCCATGGCACACACTTTTTTTCCCAATTTCTTTTTTTAAAGTTTACCACTTGAGGCCAACTCACCTATATTGCTCTTTTTCAGAAGAAATCTGACCACAAATGGCACCAAAATCCGTGACGAGAATTTACCCAACTCTGCGAATGTCTGTCTCTGTGCGTTTCTCTCTGTGTCTGTGTTGGCATGCTGTGCTACGAAACCAGAGGCCCGATTTCGATGCTCGCTCAATGCCACCACCAGCGACGATTATCTGAACCGGTCCTGGGCATCCCCTAGATAGACTCAACCTCAAATGAGTACCTGGTGCGGTGTGTACACATTGCCACTAGGAATACAAAGGCGGTTGGGCGTGGTGCTGGCCACTCCCTCGTGCGCTGTTCCGGCCTTCATAGGTGCTCGCTATCAATACTGCCCCAAACGTGTGGTAAGGCCATTTGAAGTATCCTTGTATTTGTGTGTTTCCATGTCTGAGTGTTTATTTGCATCTCTGTTTCCTTGTCTCTGTGTGAATGTATTTGTATCTGTTAGTGTATTTGTCTTTGTGTGTGAGCTGCACTGTAAAACCATAACCCTGTGTAATAAAATAATTACTGCAATGCCATCAACCTGCGTGCTGTGCCGTAACACCCCAATCCAAGGTAGGCTCCTCTGATACTTACCTTTGTTAAGTTCCAACAAAGAAGGAGTGTGTGCTCACCTTTGCTGGCCTTTACGAGTGGCAGGAAGGCCATCGTTGTGCGGATGGTGCCCCACAGGTTCACGTTGGCCACTCGCTGGTACGTGTTCATGTTGCACATCTCCACCTCACCCAGATGTGTGATGCCCGCGTTGTTCACCACAGCCCACAGGTCTGAGCAATTGAAGAATAAATGGTATGAAGCAGCAAAAGGTACGTTTGCTGTCCACTGTTTGTTTTGTTCTGCCTCATCGTTAAAAATGGGAAGTTGACCATTTTTCAAGATACTCAGTTTATATAGTGTTGCTGTTGTATTATTTAATAGGCTTACCCATATAATAATCATGATGTACATTCCTCTGTAAATGCAATGAGGGATGAAGACCTTCCTCCGTGATGCCAGTCACGGGGGTTGTTTGAACAATATTCACCACGCGAGTCGGTGTGGCTTGGTCGTGAGTTGGCGAAGGGGGTCGAATATCCAGATCGCCGTTGATGTTAAATGGCCAGGGAGGGAATTCAGGGAGAAGTGGGAATACGGAGAGCCAGGGTGAGAGGTGCGAGATAAGGGAAAGGGAGGTGGGTGAGATACAGTGGAGGGACGAGAGGAATATAAGAGGGAGGGATAACATTGTGGAAAGGGGAATAGAAAAAACAGACACATTTTTATGAATTTAGATTTCCAGTACAGAGAAGGCAAGAGAAACGCGGAGAGAGGCAGGGCTCTATATAAGATAAAATGTTTGCTGGCTGGCTGGGAGGAACGGTTATTTAGACTTCAAACTAAGTTCTGAGAGAAAGACAAGCTGCGAGAATACATTTTCAGGGATTATTTCGAAGCCTCACTTGATTTTAGACAAATTCTAGGTGGATGCAGGACAAATGTCAGGTGTGGTTATAAGATGAGGAAACATCTGAGAAAAGTTGCTAGGATTAGTCCTTCACTTTTTGCTGGAATTTAATGGGCTGAATTTCTAGAAATTGAAGGAATTGTGTAGCTTTTGCCCGTATGAATGTTTATACAATTCTAATCAAATACAGCAGTGTTGCACACTAGATATTCAGAAGTAATTTATTACGTGATTTTTCTGTATAACAGTGCCTTGTGCTCTAGTGGTAGTGTGTTATTTCTTGCGGACTGCATTTCTGTGTGCTTAGTGTGTTGTCCTTCCCCCGCACCGCGGATTAGCACGGTTGGCTACGTACGGTGTGAAAGAAGTTCACCATGCATACATGAACCTTACGGCGGGACCCCGGGGCCCTGAATAAACGGAAGTCAAAATCGCAATGAATTAATTTATTTTTGGTGACTCCGTCCCACCTCGCACATAAACGCCGCGTCCCACCTGGCACGGATTATTCTGTTGTCATGTCGTGTCCAAGCGCAGCGGCGAGGACGAATGCGCAGAAGAGCTGAACAAGCGAATGCTGCACTCCATGCCCGGGTATGGGCAGGATCATAATAAGTCTTATCCAAAGCTGCTCAAACTGCCTACACGAGTTAAGTCCTTTATTTGTCATAACGGGATGCATAATACAGTGAAACTGCTCTCTAATCTTCATTATTATTTGTGACCTACCAATGTCTGCAGCCAGGATCAATCGATGACAATCCTATTACCTGCAGATATTAAACAGCTGAGATTCGTTGCACCGTTAATTCCTCCTGTTTGATAACCTTGTCCGCATCTGTGCAGATAGGTTTTTTTTTGCGGTTAAGCCATAGTCCCCACATACCGCTCGTATCAATGCGGATAAGAGGAACGGCGACCCACTACTCTGTAGAGTAACATTGGTATAAACGCTTGTTACAATATGAACAGCGCATTGAAAACGCGTACTATTTTATGTACTGTTTACAAAGTGTGTTTACACAGAGAAACACGATGATTGACAGAGGGGTGTAAATATTTTTTTCGAAAGTGTATTTAAATAGAGGTACTGCAGGTAAGTAGTTTTCAGTTTTAAAGGCATAGTTTAACAAGACCACTTTCCACCATCCTTCAAACCCATTGGTGAAAAAGAGCAAAGTTTTTGTTTACTTAATCATAATATAAAGCACGGGGCTTAGGGCGTGCTGCCTGGCAATTTTTTTTCGACAGAACCCCCACCGTTTTAGAGCCAAATCCCTCGCAAGCGCGCGTGCGCAGAGACTTTTATATATAAGATGTTTACGCGAGAGCCGGGGGCTTATGGGACCTCGGGGTCCCGCCATAAGGTTCATATGATCACTAAGTTTATTAACATGCAATTTGTCTGTAATTTTGAAAACAATGCATCCATGGATTTCCAAATTAAATAATAACTCGGGATAGTTTATCTACTTCCTGATGAAACGTTTATGTGCCGTGCAAAATAAGTTCAACATATACACATTATGCTGACAATCACTATTCACCATCCTAGCAGCATTCTGAAAAATATCGAACGAGAAATTAATCCCCGAGACACATGCAATATATTGCTCCCCAACCGTTATTGCTCGTGGTAATATACAAACATTATTTGTAGGCGTATGTATATGCATAATGGAACAGAACAAATTGTAGCTGGAACCTGATAATTGGTTGTCAAATGTTATTGTTCAATATTAAATTTAATGTCCTACAAACCTTTCATCTGCATGCGGTCCTAAAACTTTTAAAGCACTTTTTTTTCCGCGTGAACTTTGGTTTTATTTGCACTTTTACACAGCAAAAAGGGTCAAAATATGCACGCAACTTATCACGCGCTCTGTAGCATCCTGTCCACCCGCGCGGCCGCATCTCACCTGCCTGCCGACCCATGCGGGTGACGGCTGCATGTGCCTCCTGCACCTGCTCGTCGCTCGTGACATCGAAGGGCAGGACGCGCAGGCGGTCGCTGCTCTTGCTCGCGAGCTCGCGGGCCCCTTCTCCGTGTGGCTGCAGGCAGCCGGCCAGCACCCGGACTCCCATGCCGTCCAGACGCCTCGCCAGCTCGAAGCCGAAGCCGCTGTCGCAGCCCGTGATGAGCACCGCCCGGTCGCGCAGGGAGACGCGGGGTGCGCGGGTGAGGACCCAGGAGTTCACCACAAGCACGACCACGGTACCGCTCAGCGCCAGCAGCAGACCACTGATGCACCCACAAACGGCAGCTACTGCCACAAAGAGGGTCAGGCACACTAAGGCACTGGTTATCCCCATAGCGCCTCTCTTGTGACGAGCCAAGTCAAAGCGAGCCGTCCTTGAGGTGCTAAATTGTGAAACTTGCACAGGCTGGGCCACTTACGGTTTTATTGACTGACGGCAATTTCAATACGTGGATTCTACCAAGCATCAATTCAGTGAGAGGGGTGTTTTTCGCTCAAGGGGTTTCTACCCTCTTCAATTAAGCCACCAGTAAAGTCAGCAGAGGGCAGAAGACGACACTTGAGCCAGAGACCACTACACAGCAGCACTGTGTCCTGCCGACACATACTGGAATGTAGATGAATGTTAAGTGTTAAATAAGCATACTAAATCAGCGCTGTATTCATGCTCTCTTTCAAGGGAGAACGAGACTAATTAGAAGTGTGCTCTCCATTGTGCTGAAATTCGAACTCATTTTTTTATTTGTCAACAACAAATTGTACAACTATTTTTTGTTTCAAACATAGTACACCACGGGATTTATACTCTTCTTCAATAAATGTTTCAGCAGGAAGTAGAGTCAAACAATTTCTTAAGTGCCGCATTAGGAAACACTATCGCGAATTAGTATTTAATTTTGAAAACAATGGATGCATTGTTTTCAAAATTACAGACAAATGGCATGTTAATCATGTATGTGATCATGTATGTGATCATGTATGTGATCATGTATGTGATCATGCATGTATGTATGTTTAACTTTTTTCTCACCGTACGTAGCCAACCGTGCCTAATCGGAGGTGCGGGTGATGGGCCACAAACTAAGCACAAAAAGCAGTTCTAAATAAATTAGTTTTTAATCTAGATTTAAAAGTGCATAGCTCTACTGGCTTCCTAATATGGAACGGAAGAGCGTTCCAGACGGCCGAAAAAAATCTCATCTGAAAGTGCGCGATGCAGTGACCGTCTTTGTGTGATGGCCAGTCAAAAGCCGCTGCGAGGGTGATCAGTGTACAGGTCACTTTGATAACAGAGTTGGAAGTTTAATTGTATAGCTTTTGGGGAAATAAGGTACAATTCGTCAACGTTGTGTACTGGATATACAGTAAATGATGCATCCACAATGCCCATAGCTATGGCTGTAGACCATATGCCCTTATGTATCCTTTTCTCTTTGAGTTCTCGCCGTTTTAATCAAATAAACTTGACTTGACCGATACCTGGGATCAGAGTTGCATTTCATATCATTTATTCCCATGGCACGTGGACATTTTAGGCAACCACATACTTGCACAGCTTGCATCATATTACACTCTCCCAATTAGACGCTTCACATTGTCCCATAGCCTTTTGTACCTTGTTTACTAGAGTACGTTTTTCACATTGAATAGGATGTGCCTAAAAACGAGAATCTCGCCGCAGAGGAATGAAGGAAAAGCCATTAACAAAAAATGTTTCGATGGACCGAGCTGTGAATAGTTTTTTTGCATGACCATCGTTGCCCATGCTGAGTGACAAACGAGAAAAGATGTGTGCTCCTTCCAGCTACCCCTGGCTGCCCAGGCAACCCTGGAGAGCCCGTAATTATTTCTTTGTGTGGGTTAATCATCTGCTAGCCGAAATAGAATGGATACGCAAATGCTCAGAGCCTCTGACATTAGTTTTAAATAATACATTTTAAATAACATTTTAAACTAATGTATTTAAACTGCACATTTCCGACTATTCACATATATACATATAAAATACTAAAGTGATGTTAGCAGAATGTGTTTTTGGAATATGAGGAACTCTGAGCCAGTGCGAGATTGTGAGTTTATGGAAGCTCTTAGACTTCTAACAAGACGCAACAATCTTAATTTTAAACATCGTTCTAGACTTAAGTTCGTCTTTAAATATATCATTATCTTTTTAAATTATGTTGTTGAAGAATTCTCAGCAGCAGCATGTTGGGATAAAGGTCTTCATTCTCAAATGTACGGATTTAATTAAATTTAAATCTGAAAAGAACACCAAGCAAAAATCTCGTTATGTTGTCAAACCTGTATTCACAATTGGGTCTGGAGGCAATCATCTAAAGGGCAATATTCTAACTTCTAAATGATCCTGCAAACCATTCTCAGGGGGAGCCCCAATTAGAGCTAATCCTAGCAAGAGCTGGACTGCAATTATAATTGCAGATCAATGTTTATGAAGATATGTTTCACATGTGTACTGTTTGCCAGCACGGCAGTGATGCTATTACTCATGTTCATGGATTAAACTATTAAGAGATGTGCTGATGTGTTTTCTATCTCGTCGAAGCTACCTAGTTTCCTCTTTGTGTTCACATTTTCCCTTTGAATGCCGACTTAATTATTTTTTTATAGGTCATCTCCACCCATTTTTTTTATTAAATCCGATGTTACTTCTGTAGGTGTAATTAACAAGTTGTCACTGACTAAAATCTGCATATTGAATGCAAATATTTTACTCTAGTATTTAACATTTGAACTGGCATTCTTAAAACCTTCATTACTTGGGGTTAAATTGACTAAAATTGGCTGTATTAGTTAACACAGTAGCAGTCATGCCACCAGCAATTGGAGGCATTGTAAATTAAATATTTAACGTAAAAAGGCCGCATGAGATTTCTTGAGTGGCCATTTGAAGCAAAGACAAAGTAAAGGCAGTCAACTCACAGAGGGGCCAATGCCTGCCTGCAGTTAGCTTCCTCTTTTTAAAATGGCATTGTAAAATAACATTTCACGCATTTTGCAAGAATGCACATATATTTGTTTGATAAATGTCTCAAATGTGCTCAGGGATATTTTTGTTTCTTTTCATTTTTTAATGTACAGCTGCAGGGTGGGCCATTAGAGAGACATCAGAAAACTTCAGCGTGTTGGGTAGCTCAAAAGCAGACATTTTATTGTGTCAAGGCAGAGAGTTGTGATTTCAAATTCTATGGTTCTTTCGGGGAAGTCACGTAGATAGAAAAAATAATAACAATAAAATAATAAAAATGCAAATAAAGTGAATAATAAATAATAAAAATATCACGACGTTTCGATTGCAACACAAGCGGTCGTCATCAGGAACAGGGAGGTTAGCCTCTGAGGACAAGCTGTTTATAAAAGTTTAGAGATGGGCGGGGCAGCTAATGTTAATGTCGGAGAGGGCTGCGATGCTGATTTCAAGTCAAAGATAGCACAACAGTGCCATCTTCACAAATTACATTTTGTAAAGAGGTATCATTCGTGCAATTGCAACACCTATGTCTGCATTGAAGCCAGCAATGTGTAAATTCAAGTACTGTAATACTGTAGTCGTCTCTAATGACATGTTAGGAATGAGTACATTTAAAAGAAAACAAGTGGACGTGCATTTAAACAGGCTTTTTTTTTCGCTCCACTAAAGGGTGTTCTTATTAGGGGTGTGATAAATGCCCCCCACCCTCCCGCCGTTGTGTGATTCAGGAGCACAATTGATATGAGAATTAATTTAGTTTTTCAACATTGCAGTGCATGCGTTCCACCTCTCGTGTAAATACGGAGGGTGTGAGGATGCCTTTGGGACAAGAGAAGACTGATCAAATCAGCATGATTTTTGTGATACCGCGTAGCTAGCTGTGTTATTCTTTCAGTCAGGCTTACAGGAAGAGTAAGCGGAATAAAAAGGGTGCGAGTACAACTATCGCGAGTGCTTGGTTGAGTTAATGCTGACAAAATCACGAGGTCACTGGTGAATTGCATCGCCATCCTCATGCAAATGAATTTTCCAACGAACACTTAAAATCTGTTCTCGTGCTGCATGCGCTGTCACGTTTGATATTTCATTCCCTGCTTCTGATAAGGTCACAAAATATGTCTCTGAGGCATGACAGCACTTTTGCACACATGGTGGTGATATTCATTGGCATTTTGGTAACTGGAATTATTCAATTTTCTTATATTGGCTGGTGTATGTTTATGACATCCTTGTAACGTAATATGTGCCTCTAAATTCCGATTAATTCTCCTTTTTGTCACGATGCTCATCGAAAAATGAAAAACATTGCCCCTCTTTTATACTAACAAAAATATCCTTTCCTGTAAAAATGTTTACGTGCATTGGTATTTAACACGTAGGCATTTCGCGACCAATATTATTCATAATAAAGGTTTTTTGGGTTAGATCGCGTTATTTATAAATGTGTTGCAACCCTCCACCACCCGACACGGCCAATCAGTAAAAAAGGTGTCACGTTGACAAAAGACAAATAGGTCACTACTTTAGCCCACCGGTGTGTTGAAGAGTGAATCCACAACATTTACCAATTTTTGAGTAGTACGTTTCGCTGGTAATTACATCCAGCATCATCGGGCAATTTGCCAGAATGGTGAAGTGCTCCACCTGCTTCCGGTCTTAAATAGAGCAGCAGGGTGACGTCATCATTTAACCCAATCAGGTGCAGAGATCAGAGGTGGAGAGGGGGGGGGTATTGTAATTATATAATAGATTAGTAATCAGTTAATTGTTATGATTAGTAATCAGTTGTAGATTAGTAATTTGTTGTAATGTGTATTATTTAATAACGGAACCCGATCACTATACCCAATAAGGTGCAGAAATTAGAGGTGGCGAAGGGGAGGGAGGGGGTTATTGTAATTATATACTACGTAATTAGTATGTGTTTCCCCTGTAAGGAATTGTAATATGTATTATTTAATAATACGCTTCCAGGCCGCACTAAGCCTGTAGCTGTCAGAGCGATTAAAGTTATTTGTATTTCTCTCAATTTCAATGGGTTCTCTAATTAGTCTTGGCCAGTAATAATTCGTTTTACACAACACTTCAACGTTATCAAAATTTATTGAGTATCCTTGTTGACAAGCATGTTCTGCCACTGCCGACAGCTTAGTTTGAGATAATTAAATATTTATTTGGTGTTCTTTTAGTCTTACGCTGATGTTACGTCCCATCTGTTCAATATAGCATCTGCCACATAAGCAATTA